AAAACCCCCATTCACTAGTTTGAGATATCTACAAGCTATAATTCTTGGAATTATTTCAACATAGTTGAACCAACTTAGCTAATGAACTGGGGCACCACCTTGAACGAATGGACCCGTGCCCAGGGAACATCTGACGGCCCTGAAGAGTATGTTGCATTCAAAAGCACAGCTCAATGCCGTGAGAACCAGGCGTTGCTATGCGTTGCTATGATGCTGAAATGGGGATTGAGAGAACAAACATAGTGGTATCACCGGTTGCATGGGTCATTAAATGTCCCCATTGAACATCACCCAACCATTAGGTATATGGTCTATAATGGCTACTATAAGGTGATGTTCAATATTCCCAAAATGGGACAGTTACCAACCCCTGGGTTGAAATTTGGGTTTTTGGATTCAGCAAACATGATAATATCACTGACTATCACCATGTATCACTGGGGAGCTGGAACTCTGATACCAAAGATCACCTTTCAAGAGTTGTTGATGTGGTTCTGAGGCTTGGTAGTTGGGCCTATGGAAATCACTTGCGACTTCCATGATGTTCACTTGCAACTGCTCCGTGAGTTCTTTCGGATTATGGGATATTGGTGTATATATATATATACATATACACACATGTCAATATATATATATTTATATATATATACTGTATATATATTGAGTAAACCCTAAAAAGAAGAACAGGTTCACATTGCCACAATTTACCTTGGATTTTACATTTCTATCTTTTTGTGGCTTCCCATTTGTTGAATTCTGATCTGCAAGGGGCTGAGCCTTCCCAACTGGTTGATCTTCTTGGGATCCAGGGACAAACTGAAGAACCGGGCCAGCGCGGTGCAATTTCAAGAGGCAACGGACCCAACGTACTCAACGGACTCAACGGACCGGGCGGCAAATCATCTACAAATCGCTAACTGTCCATTTATATCATAAAAGATCATAATGCAATATCACGGTTAATCGGATTAGATATCATCTCCAACTAGTGAGTGGAACCTCCTGAGAATCGTCTTATTTCAGACGGGTGAATTATGCCATAATTTTTGCTGTCATCTCGATGAAGAAGACTTGCTAGTGCTGAATCAACCACAGCTGGATCCGGTGAGGTCTGCATGTTTGGGGACAAAACCTCATCACTCTTCCCACTTTTATGGCTTTCAAGTCGTCAAAAATGCCAGCATCTTTGCTTCGTTTTTTTTAGCTAATTCCATGGGCGGCAACGCAGCCAGGTGGGAAAGGACGAGCCACTTGGCAGAAATCCCGGTCGGCATCTCTGATGATTCTGTTGATTTAGATAGAAAAAAAAATGGTAAACCAAAGGGATCGACAAAAAAAAATAGAAGAGGTCATTTAAATTCATTTAACCCAGTTGTGTTCTTTGAATCCCAGTTTTTTTGGTTGTCCTCTTAAATTCAATATGTTTAGGCTAAAGCACCATTGCGTTTCTCAAATCCAATCGGTGGTGAAATGTCGCTGTTTGTCAAATTCATCCCATTCCCAATTTGTTTTGTACATCCCCCAGACACCATGGTTTATTGAATGTAGCAATCCACAATCTTCCTCATTCATTTTCGAGTTAGCTCAAAACATGTAGCTGGCTCAATTTCAGAAGGGGTCATGTGTTTGACTTTAATGTTGTGCTGCTGTCTAAGCTGATTTGGCCCAAAATGTGGCTCTTAAATTTCTGGGCTGCAACAGGGGTACCATCTCTATTAAACGAATCATTCGGGACTGAACCTGGCAATTGAACACATTGGGATTTTTTTGCAGGCTTGCTCAAGTGGAACGAGCTACCTCAGCAACACCGCGCTAGCTCAAACACATCGCTCTAGCTCGATGGCATCGAGCTGGCTCAATTTCGGAAAAAAAAACGGAAAAAAGAACTCGAAAAAATTGAGCCAGCTAGGTCACGTTGAGCTGGCGAACAAATCTGAAAGCTAGAAAACGAATAGATACATATGTATTGGCCGGGATGATGACGGCACACCGAGCTGGCTCAAGGGCATGTAGCTGGCTCAATTTTTTCGTGTTTTTTTTTTGCGCCAAAAAAAATGAGCCAGCTACGAGGCGCTGAGCCAGCACCGAGCCATTAACCAGCTACGTGGCACTGAGCCAGCAACGAGGGAATGCTGAACCTGTACTGGACCGATGGATTTTCCGATGCAGCCTTTGCAGTTCCAACAAATCAAATTATTGATTAATTCGGGCACCATATGAGATAAGATAGAAGACTGGCAGTCTATACATATGTATAGACTGGCAGTCTATACATATGTATACGTATATAATCCCAACCGTATAATTTTGGTCAATCTGAGGCAACACCAGTTTTCTTGAGAGAGACGCGTACCCTTGAGCTGGAGGGAGATTGGGAAAAGTAACTTTCGAGTTTAATGTGCATTGAAATCGCATATGTAATGTAATATATGTAATGTAATATATGTAATGTAACATAATGTTTAATGGAACATATTTGGGATGTAATGTCAACCCCGGATTATATAATAAACCATGGCTTATTAATTAGGGGGTATTCCCCCGATAGTCATAATTTGATACGTAAATGGCACCTTCCAAATTAAACAGCCCAGGGGTTTATTAATCCCGGGTTGACATTATATAATTTCTCTGGTATGGAATCGCATGTTTGGGACCAGGTAGTTGTGATATAATCCACTCAGCCTGACGCTGTAAGACAGCACTTCCCGCCAAGGCCCAGCTTGCCACCAAGCATTGCTATCAAGGCCAAGCTTTGTTCATAGCCGAGTTGGTTGATAAATCTCCCATTACTAATAAATACTGTAATATAATAGTACTATTATATAGAGATATAATGGATATACAAATCTCCCACTCCCTATGTAATGTAATGTTCTGTTCTGTTATGCTATGTTAAATTATGTTATGTTTTGTTATGGTATGTTTTGCATGTATGTATTAATGTAGTATAGTGTAATGTAATGTAACATAGTGTAATGTTTTGTAATAACATCTAATGTAATGTAATATGGTGTAATGTTCTGTAACATAATGTAATGTAATGTCATGTAATGTAATATAGTGTAAATATAATATATAATTTAATACAACACAATATTATATAATGTAAAATAATCTAATACACCATTATTAAATTATGTTATGTTATGTTTGCATGTATATATATATATATAAATATGCATCAATCCATATCACGAGTTGGAGATTGAACACCATCAAATATTGTATTTTGTTGGGTCATCGCATGATGTTTCAGACACATGAATTGAGCGAGTCGATGCTGCAATGTGGGATTTTCGAGTGGGTATAGAGGCATGACCGTACCACTGTACATTTGGGCACATAATAACCTCACCCTCAAACCTTAAACAATGGTTTTAATATGGTTTTATAGGGGAAACCAAATCGCCCAACCAGCTATAGCCTCTTGTGACAGTGTAGATTACATAATAATGAACATTGGTGGTTTCAAGCACTTCTCATCGTGTTTCCATGCACAGAAAAGACATCGGTTTGGGACCTGGTGACAAAATCCGGCGACTTCTTGTGGATGTTGGATGATGTTAGCGGTTGAAGAAAATACCCATGGAATCCGTACAATTTAATGAATAGCGAAGAGAAAAACATGAATAGTTGCATTGGTGTATAATCTTATAATCACCCTTAAAAACAAACAACATATAGAGTAGCTCCCATCTGATGGTGCATTCTTCATCCCACATCTCGTGGCACAGGAGATCTTTGGGTTGCCGTTCGGGCCCAGGGTGGGACAGCTGGAAAACAGCAAGAATTACCGCCTTTTGCGGTTTGAACCTTGGGCAGTAGCCTCTGGTCATTTAACACAGCTATGGCAAATGTGTGAAAATCTCCCAGTTGCAGATGTTTTGCCTATAAAAAGTGTGATTTTCGATAGCTATCTTGAATTACCAGAGGCTACACACGGCTACACCTTTTTTTTTGGCCATGAATGGGGATGGATCAAAATTTAAGGCCCAAGGGATTGCATATTCTCTGAATTTTGGGTATTAACCATCCAATTTCAGTCGTATCCAATTTTAACCTATACCCATATGAATGGGAAATATGTCAAATATAACTATACTCAAATATGTCCTACTCAGCCAAAGTGTTTTCAGATGTTGTTCCAGGGAAATTGAGATCCACCGAATGAATCCTGTTGGTGGATTTCAAGCAGCACAATGGGTATTGAAGCGAAATGATTATTTATGAACACTGCAACGCAATCTATGACTGGTCTGCGTTTTTTTGGGGCTTCAATGTCCTTATTGGGCATGGTGAACAGTTGACATATTGGAGGGTTGAAGCCACCACGGAATCATGTCGATTTGCATCCTTGGTGGTTGGTTCTGTATCTGTGGTTCTGGGGCTACAAGGGTCACCCGTCTTTGTTGTGCAAAAATGGACGGACAAAGAAGAAAGACACGTAACTGGAAACATGTCTGCTATGTTTGTCCTTCGTTCCTGTTCTTGTTCGCGTATTGATAATTTGCTAGGTGATGATATGGATTATGCGTTTATTGTAGTAGTTGTTGACAACAAATTCAACCACAAATAAATCTACAGTAGTCAGCAACCACATCTCTAGACCATTATCAACAGCTATCAACCCTGACAACAGCCTAATGAGCGACAATAAGGCTTGAATCATCCATTGAATGATAGAGATGTTGTAAGAAGACTACAAGGAGATATTTAAATTAATCATATGAATCATATGTAATATGTATAAAGATTACGGAATTATAAGTATATATATATATATATACAATTATATACATATATGTGTGACTTTACCTTACAATTAACTAGATAACTAGATTACTTGGTCCAATAACATATTATAATACAATGGATAGTTATCTACAATATATACTTTATCCAATAGATAGTTATATTATATTGTAACTATCCATTGTTACTTGGTCCAGAAACCAAGGACTCCACTGAACACTCGAAGCACTCGAAGCACCGCCCAGGCCCATGGACGAGCACGGGCGGATGATCGGAGGTCATCGGGCGCTGTTGGAGAACTTGTTGAGGACGGGATGGAACGACGGCGTGACGAGGGGAAGCTCAAAGGCAGCTTTAAAATAAGGTTTGGGATTTTGACCAATAGAAACTTTTTTTTAAATGTTTTTTTTTAAAGATATTTATTTAAAGCAGAAGACATGGGATGTTCATGGATGTTCTAATTTTAAGCTAAGGAATCTGAGCACTGAGCATCCTGAGTCCATTTGGACAAAAGGTGCATGAGGCGAATGGGCATTGCGATGGCGGCCCACCAAGATACAATGTTTATATACAGTATTTATATATGATTTATATATGATTTATATATGATTTATATATATATATATATATGCAAGTTTTTCTTTCAACTATAGTAACTATAGTTTCGTTTTATAATCAAACATGCAAGTTTTAGCAAGAGATATCGGAGGTGAAACAACAATGCATTTTCACAAGTGGACCTGGTATTTTGAGTAGCTGAACCTGGATGTCGACCGGCAAAAATTCATATTTCAATTGCTACAACCGTTCATTTGAACCCCAGTTTGTGGCGGGCTCAGCGCTTTTCACTAAGCCTCATGATTTTTTACAAAAATACTAGTGATTACAAAAATTCTGGGCTTACCAACCAGGATTACTTTAGTGAAACTTTAGTGATTGACTTTGGATACCCTCTGGTAAACGTTTACATAGCTATGGAAAATCACCATTTTCTAGCTGGGTAAATCAACTATTTCTATGGCATTAAATGGCCATTTCCAATAGCTACGTTAGTCATTACCAGAGGGTAACATAGACCCATGAAATATCTCCAGCATTGTATCCCCCACGTATCCATTGTTGATTGGTTCTATGCCTATATTCATCGTTGATTTTGCGGTGCCCAGGAGCCCGACTCCATTCATCTTAGAGCCGAGCTCTCAGACGCGTCAGACGTCGGGCGATGGAGCTGTGGAGCCGATAGCCTGCCTGGGTCAGGTGATTACCCTCTGGTTATGTCAAAATACCTATTGAAAATGACCATTTATAGTGAATTTTCTCATTAATAATGGTGATTTTCCATAGCTATGTTAAATTACCAGAGGGTACCTATGATTACCTGACAAAGAGCAAAAATATGGAAGTTTTGTTTGGGTTCAAAAGAAAAAACACACATGACTTGTGAAGACTGATTTTGTTTCTTTCAATTCAGGTCACAAATAGGAAGGTTTCATGGAGGTTTTACTTCCTCCTGAAGTGGAAGCTAGTTGGTCACTGAATTCGACTCAATGGCCGGCCAAGACTTCTCCCACTCCCAATTTTGATTCATTTTTACCTGTGTTTTTCCCACGTGCCAGGTGAGGGTCTCTAGATTTTAGCAAAGGTGCAACTCCTTCTTCTGCTTTTTCCTCCTTCTTCCTCCTTCTTCCTCCTTTTTCTCCTCCTGGTTTCCTCCTCTGCCAGCTCTGACTGTGGGCAACGGACCCGAGCCATATCGCGAGCTCCGGATGCAGTGGGGGCCACGCCTGGACCCGAACACATGCCATACAGGATGTCAGACAGAATGTCAGAGCATATGCCAGGCAGCATGTCAGATATAGTGACAGAGTATATGCCAGAAAGAATGTCAGATAGAATGTCTGAATTATTTATATATATATGATTATATATGTATAAAGGCCATAGATACTTCAAGATGATATGTCAGAAACTATGTCCGGATAGTGTGTCAGGGTGGGGATCACTCGAAATAAGGCAATTCAAGCATTTCTGCGTTGGTGGCTTGTGTTTGATATATACGCATAATATATATATATATATATCTTGATTGTTAGTTATATATATATACACATATGTGTATATACATATTATAACAGCCTCACGGCGACATGACTGAAGCGATGGTTAGTAAGGGGGAACTACATATCCCAAAATGGCCTTATTCTTTAGGTTGGTGAACGAATGTGAGTTTCCATATATATATATATATATAGACTTGGACCTTTGATTGCTACTTAACTTTATCCCTCTCCCCTGTTCGATTCACGTTTTCAGTTTTGGTACCTAAATGGAAACCCCATTGTCACATTATATGCCAATGCTTTCCCATTATATATATATATATCCGCACTATAGCCCTGTTGATAGTTGATTTTATACTCCATTACCCATATTAATGAGGTAAACCAAATGCCATATACCTTCCTGCAATCGGGGTTAATTTAGTTACTATCTCTGTTTTACCTCGTTTTGCATCCCCATTTCATCACCATCATCATAGCCAATATATTGTCCTTTTAGGAAAAATAGAGGGGCGGGTTTGGTTAATAACAACTTTATGTTTATGTATAATCTACCTATTGTTTTTTTTAAAAAAATTGACACTTCTATTCATCAGCCAGTAGGAAAGGACATATGATCGTAACATATCATAACTATGTTGGGGGTTCTTAAATTGGGGATCCACAAGTAACCGTGGGAAACCTCCAGTCATCAGCAGTCCTTAGGTTACGACGGCAGCATCTCCTGGAGTTCGGAGCTCAAAATGATGGATTTAACCACTGAAAAAAATGAGGATGTGAATCAATGCGAATATTATGTAATCACCAAAAAGATAAAACAATATGTATATATATATATACAATCACTATTCTTTATAAGTGGGATTTCACTATTTCACTGTTCTATTTTACTGGGAGTGACTCTATTTTCAGGGTTTGTCTTAATCTTTGGGAGATAGAATTAGGTATTTACTGGACAATCTATATCACTATTTTAGTGGGAGTTTACTTTTCTTTCCGCGACATTTGCTTGTTCACTGAGATCCATTTTTGATGATGTTGGATGAGGATCTTTATTGGATCATCTAGGCAGCCAAGCAAATGCAAGATGGATGTATGTAGATACGTATGTATATATATATATATGTTATATGTGATATCTGGATAGATTATAACGACGTCAATGCGACGTTGCATTCCATGAATTTTAGGAATCGGGGCAATTATCCCAATTTTTTACGCATATTATTTCAGATTAGCATTTGATATCATCCAGATACATGCAGGACATAGTTTGAAACACCGTGTTTTTGCTTACATGGCCTCTGAACTCTACCGAAGAAGGTCCAAGGTGACAAGTAGCAAGCAGAACTGGAAGTACTTGCTGAATGACCAGATCTGTATATATATATATGTTTACATATATAATTATATATATTATATGTATATATATGTGAAATCCACAGGTGCCTATCCACCTTTCCTGGTCACATCTCACAGGTTGCATGTACAGGGAACATTTTGGCTGAAGGATCCAAAAGGATGAGCCCGTGCGATCCCACGGTTGGGAGTCTCGAGTTTCCGCATTGGTAGCGGAGCCCGGACAGTCCGGGCCCGCGCATGGTTGTCGCACAGGTCCCACGGTGGTGACCTTGCACAGGTGCCTATGGCGTCTTCATCAGCTGGAGCTGATGGCCCCGGTGGGTCAATCCGCTATTTTAGCGGCGAATCAGAAGACGCCCTGGAATACAAGAGGTGGCGTAACTGGGTGGCGAACAAGCTGCTCACACTGGACAAGTTGCCGAAGGAAGCCTATGGACCATACATCTACACCTTGCTGTCAGGCAAAGCTCTGGAGTGTGTGGAGCATTTGGACACAGCAGATTATCAGAAGTCAGGGGGAGATCAAGTACTTCTTCAACTTTTGGATAGTCGTTTCCCTCAGAAGGAGAAGACAGATGTCATGGGTGAGACTCTGGGCGAAGTGTTCAATTTGAGATCCAAACCAAATGAGCCGTTGAAAGCATGGGTGGCTAGGGCCACCGAACTGTTTGACAGGTGCGAGAGGAAATGTGGTGTAAAGTTTCCGCCAGAGGCTCGTGGATGGATCCTGCTTCATCGAGCAGCAGGCCTTACAGAAGAACAGCAAGCCGTAGTGCTGGCCAGGGCACAGGGCAAGTTGGAGCGAGAGCAAATCTCAGTGGCCATGAGGTCATGTTATCCGGAGATGATTTGCCGTGGTACCAAGTCTACAGCTGCTCACGTGGTTGAGGAAGATTCTGGTCTTGATCTGGATGAATCGGAGGCTCCCACTTTGGAAGCCGAGTTTCCCGATGTAGAGCTGTTGCTTTCAGAACATCACTGTCATGGATTAGATGAAATCAACGGCAGCAGTGATGCGTTTTTGGAAACGGACGTTGCCGAGGTTCTCCAGGTTTCCTGGCGCGAAAAACGTGCTGAGCTGTCTAAGCTACAGAAGGCTCGAAAGTTCACAGCTGCCAAGGAACTCCGCCGAAGTTTTCGAGTGGAAGTAGAAGAACTGAAACGCAAGACCAAGTGCCATCGATGTGGAAAGCAGGGACATTGGTCCCGCGAATGCAAACAGCCCAGGAAGGATTTTCCTCAGAGGTCCGAGACCAACAAGGGTTCCGCGCCTACTTCTGGCGCCGCAGTGGTGCAAGCAGATTCATTAGATTTTGTAGCTGCCGTGGAACATGTGGTCCCACATTCTGTAGACTGGGTTGGCCGTGAGTTGACAATGTTGGAACAGCTGCGAGAAATGACACAGGGTCGAACTGAGTCTCAACCGACGGTCACCGAGAATGAGGTGCTGCTGGTATCATCACCCGGTTTTGGGGTGCTGGATTCGGGGTGTGGCCGAACGATCATTGGATTGGAAACACTGTCTGACTTTGAAAAGATGCTGAACAATCGCAATATGCCCAAGCCAAGTCGAAGAACAGAGTACAACAGTTTTCGTTTTGGAAATGGTGCTACAGAGATTTCAACTGAGGTAGCAATGTTGCCCTGTTTCTTAGCTGGTCGAAGAGGTGTGATTTCAGCAGCCGTAGTGCAAGGAAAAGCTCCCTTGCTCATCTCTCGTGGAGCTCTTCAGACACTGAAAGCATGTTTGGATTTTCAGAATAATCAGATTCAGTTGTTCGATGATCGGGTCGTAGTCCCGCTGGCTACAAACTCTGCTGGACAGTATGTGATCAATTTGTTGGACAAGCCTGACAATGACAGCCCAACAGTTGAGGATGGACCTGAACCGCTTGCTGCTGTGCCTTCCCAAGAGGCCTTGCCGGTTCTGCCTGCTGTTGAGCCCGTGTCGAATCATGAAGCCGCCGTGAACTCTGAGCTTCATGAGCTGTCCAACGAGCGTTGCCAGGTGCCTCAGGACAGTCCGTGTCCTGCCCATGAGTGTCCTGAAACCCCGAAATATGTGTGGATTAGAGAGGATTGGGGGAATAGTCATGGTCCCATAGCTACTAATGGGGGTCCTCAATGGGAGAAGGTAAAACGTAGGATAATCCGCACTGCACATCATGGGAAGATCCTGTGGAATGAGGAGATTGATCACAGCAAGCCACGGAAGTGGTATCATCACAAGCTGCCGGCGCATGTAGAACACACCATCACCGAGTTCCACCATGATGATCCATGTAAACATGACCCCAAGCCTCCCATGCTGTCTCAACGTGATTGTCGTAGGTTGCACCAACAGGTCATGTCATGTGTCACGACGGAAAGGACCCATGCCAAGTCGAAGCGCATGATGGTGGTCGAAGTGTTCTCACCTCCGAGATTTGCTGAAGCGTGCCAGCGTGTAGGACTCAAAGCCCGCAGCATTGATCTGATCACCGGCCAGGATCTCACAGTGCCTGCCACTTGTAGGGAATTGGAGCAAGACCTTAAGGATAATCCTCCCGAGCTCTTAATCCTGTGTCCCCCATGCACTGATGAAGGTGGTTGGTTTCACCTAAACAAGCATAAATGGCCGGTAGAAGAGTATTTGAGACGTATCACCCAAAGCAGGAATTTCATCAAGTACTGTTGTCGTCTGTTCAAAACCCAGGTGAGTCTAGGAGGTCGAGCCATGTTTGAACATCCGAAACCTGCCAAAACTTGGAAGTATGAAGAGATGCAGAACTTGTTGAGGAGATTCCCTTCTGTTGACTGTGACATGTGTCAATATGGGTTGAAAATTCCTGATAGTGATCGTTTCATCCGCAAGAGTACTCGTTTGCTCCTGAGCCATGAAGACATGAAATGTCTAGGCAAGACATGTCCTGGTTCCAGCGATCCGTGCCATGTGTGTCATGATCACGTTGCCGGCTCGCATGCCTCGATTGGCCGAGTGAGCACGTTTGCTGGCCGATACACGGAATCTTTCGTGCAGGCTGTGTTGGAAACCGTTCCTGCATACCGCAAGCATTGTCACCAGTGTCTAGAGGTGCACGAAGATACAGTTCCAGACCGTCTCTGGCCGGAAGTGTTGGCCGTGACTGAGAAAGTAGGCGAACAGTCTGACGAAGAACTCAAGGTTGTTTTGCTGAAGGCTTACAAGAATCTTGGTCACCCCGCCACACATGATCTTGTGCGCATACTCCAGAACGCACAAGCCAGTGACCGTGCCATTGCGTTAGCCCGCACTCTAGAATGCCCAGTTTGTATCAGCCAAAGCAAGCCAAAGGCCGCTTTGCCTGCTCAGCCGCAAAGGGTCTCCGAATTCAACAGGCAGATTGGCATAGATGTGAAGCATTTGACTGGTTGGCGTCCGAATCAGAAGATCAAGGCGTTGAACATTGTTGATACTGCGAGTGGTCTCCAACGTATGATTCCTTTTACCAGCCCTGAAACCAGTAAACTCCTGTGGTCACTGTTGCAGGAACATTGGATTAGTTGGGCAGGCCCACCCAAGGAAATCGTGTTGGACCCATCTGCAACGAATTTGGGAGAACCACTTATTGTTCCTTTAGAACATCGTGGTATTCATGTTCGTCAGATTGCCGCGGGTGCTCACTTCCAACTAGGGAAGGTAGAATCGCATGGAGGTTGGTTTAACCGAGTGCTGGAGAAGATCCTGACGGAATTTCCGCCTTCAAATCATGAAGATTGGTTGGAATGTGTTAGCCATGCCCATGTCAAGAACAGCATGTTGCAACATCATGGAGTCACGCCACATCAGTTTGTGTTTGGTCGTAATCCTGATGTTCCTGAAGATCTTCTCAATGAGCCCCAGCGAGTAGTCAGTGCCACTGCAGCCCTTACAGATGAGGCCATTGATCGAGCCAACAAGATCAGGCTTTCAGCAAGGGAAGCTGTCATCCGCTTGCAAGACGATCGGTCCCTCCGATTGGCTCTTGCTGCACGTCCAAGGGTTGTAGAAGAATTTAAGCCTGGAGACATGGTGGCATACTGGCGTAATCAGAAGTGGGTTCAGGGTAAGCTGATGTTAGGGGGTAAGTGGTACGGTACTGCCATAGTGTTGGGTAAAGTAGGTCGTAACTATGTCCTTGCCCACCGAAAGCAAGTCCTTAGAGCTGCTCCCGAACAAGTTCGTTCAGCGACCACCGAAGAGACCACTTTGCTGAAGACAATGGATGTTGAGTTGCTAGGAATCAAAGATCTCATTGAAGGAGATGCTTTCAAGAGCCAGCAGTTTCATGACCTCACGTCCCAATCGTATCCATCGGTGGCCAACACGAACACCGGTGAACCCACATGCTTGGAACCAACTGAGTCTGAAAGGACTCATGATGCTCCTGCCGCGCGAGCCAGTTTGCACGTGCCTGACAGCCCAGTGCCACCGCTGGTTCAACAGCAACCAGCCGTGCCAGAGCCTGCAGTAGGTGATGTCCCAACAGTGCCTGAATCTCTCGTTCCTGAACCAGAGCGTAACAGCACTGAATTGAGTGATCAGGCAAGCCCTTCCAGTGAGGTGTCCTCTACTTATGGTCCAATGAGAAAGGTACGAGGGAAGAACGGGCCTGATGCGTTGTGGCGTCCGCCCTCCATGAAACAGGAGGATTTTGTGTCCATCATGCAGGAAGTTGCACCGCAGCTCATCAGTGATCTTTTACACCAAGAGCACTCTGGAGTTGCCGACTCAAGCATGTCAGCTAGTAGCCACTCAGGGAAACGTAATCACGAGCAGGGTGATTCCAGTCCAAGTGAAGAGCCTGCAACTTCCAAACAGCGCACCGCCTCTCCAAGCACAGAGACCATGTCAGTAGAGTGGTTGGATACATGTGACACCGCCGAAGTCCTCATTGCAGAATACCTTAAACATAAAGCTGCCAAAGAGATACCCCATAGTAACAATCTACCAGAGGTGCAGAAGAAAGTTGATCAGGGTAAGCGACTTGAATGGGAAACAATGGTCAACAAACCGGGGGTAGTTAAAGTTCACTATGGTAAACATGCTCAGAAGATTCGTGAAGAACAAGCCCATCGTTTCATTGGTAGTCGTTTTGTGTTGACACGGAAAGCAATGGAGGAAGGTCAGGTAGTCAAGCCTGACGATCCAACCACGTACACTGTAAAGGGGCGCTGGTGTTTGCAAGGTCATTTGGACCCAGATCTGCAGCAGAAAGCTGAAGAAGGCAAGCTTCAGTCTCCGACTTTGAGCCAGCTTAGTCGTATGGTGTTGATGCAGGTCATAGCCAGCCATGGCTGGGATCTTGAACTGGGAGACATAAAGAGTGCCTTCCTTGAAGCAGGATTGTTGGACGACAAGTACCGCCCGCTGTATGCCAAGCAGCCACCAGGTGGTATTCCAGGTCTCCCAGAGTCTGCAGTGATCGAAGTGTTGGGAAACATCTACGGACAGAACGATGCCCCTGCAGCATGGTTTGGAACGTTCAAACAAGCAGCCATAGACGCTGGATGGATTCAGAGTAGTTTTGACAGCTGTTTGTTTACCCTTCGATCCAAGCAGAGTAATTCGCTGATAGGAGTGCTGGGGGTTCATGTCGACGACACGGCTCTTGGAGGAGCCGGGCCTGAGTTCCGTTTGGCCGTAGAGAAGCTTCGTGCACGTTTTCCATACAGAAAATGGCGTGTCAACAGTGGGGAGTTTTGTGGTGCCTTTTATGAGCAAGATCCCAAGACAAAAGTCATCCGCATGAGTATGAAGAACTGCGCTGAAAAGCTTCGCCCAGCCAATATCAAGCGAGGTGTATCACCAGAGACACCTCTTGATGCTATGCAGCAACGCACTTTGCGTGCAATCAATGGTTCTCTGAATTGGCTGGCCTCGCAGTCAAGACCCGACATCTCAGCACAAACCAGCATCAGTCAACAAGCCTTTCCAAATCCCAAAATCCGACACCTTCGACATGCCAATAATGTGGTCCGAAGAGCCCGCATGCACAGTGACTTAACTATAACTTTCACCCCCATCAAGCCAGAAAAGCTGACTGTCGTGTGTCATTCAGATGCGGCCTTTGCAAATGTTGGTGACTATACCCAAGCTGGTCATATCATTGCTTTTACCGAAACTAGTCTACAGGATGGTCAGGTAGCTGCATGGTGCCCCATAACTTGGCGAAGTCACAAGCTCACGCGCGCAGTGAGTTCAACATTGGCTGCTGAGAGCCAATCATTGGCCACGGCGTCTGGTACAGTGGAGTGGATCATGCTGCTGTTGTCAGAAGTTTTGGATGGACCTTTCAAGTTGCGTGACTGCAGAGAGAAGCTGAGTGTTAGGAAACCTATCCTGGTGACAGATTGCAAGTCCCTTTACGATCATCTCATGTCACCATCGGCCCCAACTGCAATTGAAGATCGTAGGACTTCCATAGACGTAGTCATAATCAGGGAAAGCATTCGTTCTCTCTCAGCGTTCATGCGTTGGGTCCCAACCGATCGTATGCTGGCAGATGCTCTGACGAAGGATCAGGGCGACCCTCTGGACATGCTACGCTCGTGTCTAAAAAGCTCTGTGTATCAGATCTCACCTGAGGATCATGTGTTGCGAATGCAAGCCAAAGAGAGAGAAGACCGACTCCAAAAGAGACTCAAACCAAGTTCCCCAAATTAGATGCGTCATGTCTGAAAGTTAATCCATCTATGCTTGTGGGTGATGAGCCTTTCTGTGGAAAGAATGCATAGGTGGTCATTCGTTGTGGGGGTCATCATTAACGAGTGTGCTTGTTAAGCTGCAACTGCCAGGCTTTTTCCATAAGTTCTCAAATAGTCAGGGTCATAGCCAAGTACAGTAGTTTTTCCCTCATGTCGCTCTCCAAGGGATTGAATGCCGATGAATCCAAGATGTTGCGCTCCTTGCTGCAGCGTGCCCATGAGAATGGTTCCTTGAATGTCTTCTTGCCCACTCTGGGTTCTGAGACATCTGAGTGGTCAGAAGTCGAATCACTGGAGGAGGATGTGTCTGCTGCTATGAATGATGCATCCAAGCGCCGCCTTGTGAGCCCAGACCGCCAGGATGCAAAGCATGGTCAGACCAAACAGCTTTCAAGCAAAGCTGTATCCGCTGTTGGATCAAAGTCTCCGACGGAGGAAAGCTCAGTGAAGATTGACTTTGCAAAGATGAAGATGCCGTCTGATGTGCAGAGCATTGAGGATTGGGGTACCACCATCATGTCTGAAGGCAAGATGGCACCTCGCCAGATGTCATACGCTGAGCTGGCCTCGTCTTCGGAGGCAGATATCCAGCGCTATCTGCGTTGGCTGATGTCCAATGTCAATTCCAAGAACTTGCCGCAGTACCAGGACCTCTCTCACTACCTCCATGTTACGAAGTATGGTGAGGCCTCTGGGCCAACTGGATTCAACCGGGTCCGCAAGACCGGCTGATCGATCTATGGATGGAGCAAATCTGTGAAAGGTGTGATGAATGAAATAGCTTGCCTTGGGTATGACAAGCGCCCTGTGACCTTGCACCACCATATGGAAGTGGTATAATACAAATCACCGCCGGAGGACAGTTCTTTCAATTTTAGATTATGACCGGTGTGAAATCCACAGGTGCCTATCCACCTTTCCTGGTCACATCTCACAGGTTGCATGTACAGGGAACATTTTGGCTGAAGGATCCAAAAGGATGAGCCCGTGCGATCCCACGGTTGGGAGTCTCGAGTTTCCGCATATATATATATATGTATATAATTATTTACCACATGGGTCTCTTTACAAACAAATATTGACAGCCAAGAAGTTATTTCAAACATTTTTTAATCTGTGCTTAGTCTGGGGAAACCTTTGAAGGGTATCCGAGGTCAACCATGGTTTTACTATGAAACATAGGAACCAGCGAAACATGTTAGAATGGTTCCACTCTTCTTGGAAGAAGTTTTTTTTTTTGTACCCTCTGGTAATGACTAACGTAGCTATTGAACATGACCATTAATAGTGGATTTTCCCATTAAAAATGGTGATTTTCAATAGCTATGTTAAATTACCAGAGGGTATGGTTTTTTCTATTCAACATGTTTTGTGTCCACTTTCTTCAAATTCCACTTTAATGGATCCATGTTTGGGAAATTCTGAATATCTTTGGTCAGACATAAGGATGGATAGAAACCAATAGATAAATCCGAAGTTTGATGTTGAACATGGACCTAGTTTAGGCAAAAGATCCCCATTTCCTAGGGATACCCAACATGAGTCGCAACGGACTTCCCCGCACCAGGTGTATCCTTGCGGCGGACAAGTTGCAACGCGCCCTTTGGGTCGCAGATGGTCGCAGTGGCGCACCGTAAACATCCCATGGTTTCGGGGATTTCCCAGCGGCAGAGTTTAGCGATTGAGGCCTTGAAATCCTCCTGAAAACCATGTTTGTTTAATATCTGTGGATCTTCTGCCCCTGGCTTCCCAACAAGATCTATGGTCTATGGCTATTGTTGTCTACATTGCCCACCACTATCCGATCATCTTTAAGCACACCAAGCCGGCAAGCCTAGTCGTACGAAGCTGAACATGGTATTTGATCACAGGTCACAACATGTTACAGCTATTGTACACACCCACACACACATGCCGATGGACAGCAAAGATACGGATATATTACATAATGTATGTACATATGTACACACACACATATATATATATATGTACTATGTGTACTACGTGTACTATGTGTACTATGTGTACTATGTGTACTATGTGTACTATGTGTACTATGTGTACTATGTGTACTATGTGTACTATGTGTACTATGTGTATATATATATATACATATATATATATATATGTACATACACAAAGAACATTCTACAGGACACATGTGTAACTGTATGTATGATAGTAGTCTTTGGTATAAGATATCCAGAATTGCTGGGACCATTTGCACACTAACCCCTCAATTTTTCATGGGAAAGCCACTGGAATTCCTTTCCATTCCGCCCGTTGCACTAGGCCCTGCGAGTGAACCGGAAAAGTTCCGGCCAAGCACAAGGTTCCGGCCAAGCAGATGCCTTGAAAACCCTGGAAAATCACCATTCAAATAGCAGGTAAGTTGACAGGTGATACGGAATGATATGGAAAATCACCAGTTAAGTATAGTTAAGTGATAGGATATATGAATAGGTAAATCAAACTCAATGGGCAATATTCTATAGCTATGTCAATTTACCAAAGGGTATACGTAGTTTGAAATGTACTTGTAGTGCTTATACAAAACAAACAATAATCAGAATTAATTACGAAACAGTTTACATCTCGAAAATCCACAGAGCATGAAGAGATAATCCCTCATACATGAACAGATTTAATGAGTGAGTTCGATTGGAATGTTTTCAGTGACTTAAAACATGTATGTGCCTTGAAACATGGATGTTCACAAGGTGATATCCAAAAGCGCAGAAAATCTGTATATATCTGGGTTCCATGGATGTTTCGATACACTGCAGCCTTGCTCGGAACTGTTTCCTTGAAGTCGATGGACTCCACAAACAATGTTACCCGGCCTGGTTTTTTCGTTTACAAAAAACCATGGAAAATCACCATGTAAATCATGGGTAAATCATGGTAAATCCACTATTTCCACTGGGCCATGGCTTCAATAGCAAAGTATTAGTTAGTCATTACCAGGCCGGGTACCCTCCACCATGGAACATATGGAGGTGTCCTAAAGTCATGGGGTAACTCGAATCATCCAAGTCATTAGATCAGTGTTGAAACCTATGGTGACGACGACTTGGGATCCCTCATGACTTAAGAAACCTTGATTTATACATCCATTAAAAAAAACAATATCCAAATCATCATCCATGATTTTATGAATAATCATCCCAAATAATACAATTGATTTTCAATTTCACGATGGTCAGTTATTAACCACTATATATAATTATATATATATATATACATTAACCACTATATATTAACCATTATTAACATTGATTAACCATTATATATTAACCATCAATTTTCACTGGGCTTACTAGTCTTCCACCCTCCAACTCCACCCTGACGCCTGGCCCTCTGGGTGAAATGACAAAAAAAGGTGTTTTGTTTGGGTTGAAGCAACCACCATAGATATGCATGATTGCATAATATATGTATATGACATACTGTATATATATATATATACATATATCCATCATTTTTGGTTCAAAATCCAATACCAAAGTGCTGGAGCTCCAGTTTTGATGGTTTAATGCAATTCTTGTATGGGTTATAGCAACCGCCCGGAGAGATAGACACGTAAGTTTCAATCCTGAAATAGTGATACACATGTCTTTCATATATTCTTGGGGTTACCTAAAAACTGGTCAACTCGATCCATGTTTGTGAACATTTTATATCTTTGGTCAATACGAAGCATGAACAGAGACTACTGATTCAGATCCCTATAACATCGCTATACAATCCCTTTAAAATCCCATGAAATCCCAACCGGACCCAGTCAACCTTGACTCGTTCTATCATCCTGCTGCCAGGAAGTGCCGCAGATGAGCCAGCGCAGATGGCGGCCAAAGAAATCTTGGAAGCACTGGGCAAAGCCGACCGGGACAGCGGGCATTCTGGGCATCCTGGGCATCCGGCCGCAGAAATGGATCCATGGTGGGGTTATTAAGCCATTCATCTGGGTAAATTATAACGACCTCACTACGACCTCACTGGATTCATGGTTAGTAAGGGAAATCATCCCCAAATGGCCTTAATTCAGGTTAGTGAAATATTATAATTTACCCAGATTCATTTTGGGATAGCGGTGGTCTACAATCAGTCTGGACTGGCGGAATCTTCCTCCAAAACCATGTGAAGCTTCAAGCGTTTGGAATCGCTGCCAAAATGACATGTTTTCGGCCGGAAAATCCCCCAATGACACGCTTGGTCCATTAAAACCTCACGGCGCACCAAAGAATTCAGGTGAAGTCATCCCATTCATATGAAACAGCTATATTTGGATCCTACATACCCTCTGGTAAACTAACATAGCTATGGAAAATCACCATTTTTAATGGGAAAATCCACTATAAATGGTCATTTTCAATAGCTACGTTAAATTACCAGAGGGTACGTGGTTTCATTCCCTATACCACAGTCTCTGAGGGGTGTTGAATACATTTGAATACTGGGAATTGAACCGGCATTCAGCCACCTCTTCAGATTCTCCCCGTTTGAAATCTCGATTGTGCGGTTACGCTAAGGGACCCCAATGTTGTTTGCCCCGTACCCGCAAAAAAAAACTCGTATACCAAGCAATAAGATATTATTAATGCACACACACACATTGTATCTACACTGCGTCTACACTCATGTTATTGTTCCTAGTTGCCTTGAAGATGTTTGCATTTAAACGTGTAGATCTTTATTCATTTTTTGTTATACACAGAGTTTTATATTTATCATTACATCTAATTGTATATGTTTCTGTATACAGGTGTGTGCGAATATACAATACATATGTACATGGTTGCTGAATGTTGGTTCCAGTATTTGCACTTATACTGTTTGTAGTCGTGCATTTAATATGTTCCTCATATCGATAACAAAACAAACAAAACAGTGTCTTCAGTCGATTTGCAGATAGACAACCAGATAGATGTAGCATATATATAATTATATATATATTATATATGATATATGTATGTAATTGTATATATATATACATATTATATGTATAGACAGATACAGTGAGTTGAAATAGCTGTATACATGTATATACATGCATATAGCATACAACTAAGCAAATGTCAGCAGGACTTAACGGCGGATCAGCGTCACGTCTACCTACTGCGAGGCGGGGTCTTGTGGGTCTTGGACCACGGTGAACAATATGGGATTGGCGTTCATGTGTACGGGAATGATATGGAATGTGATATGATTGATTCAAGAATCGTTATAAGGTGTTGCCACCCTAGTTACGTTTGTTTGTTGAGAACTTCCATGAAATGTAGAAATATCTGCCAAAAACCCTAGTTCTTGACAGTTGTTGGATTTCTAAAACCAACTTAGCGTCCTGGGGGAAAACCTTGGGATATCACCAACTGAGTAGACCTGGTTGGTTGTTTTGGGGGCTTTGATTTGGAAGAAGTGAGTCACTGGGTTAAAGAAATGCCCAGTGGAACCGAAAAGGATGGTTCGGTACTGGCTTTACTATTTACGGTTTGCGGTTCGGCGGTATTTGAACCATCAAACATGGTGATTTGTATTGATGTGTGTGTTATTCCAATGTTATTCCGCTTTGGAGACTCCAATTTTTGATGGTTACTCAGTTACTCCAATTTTTGTTTATCACAATTTGGGTATGGGTCAATACCTATAGATACATTTTAGTGGGATGAACATCCATTTACCAGCTATTTTGGGGTTCACTAGGTACCAGGGTTTTGACCCATCCCTATTTCTGTGTGTTATTTTTTTTAAGGATCCATTCTTTGGATACTCCGAAACTTGTGGTGCCAAGTCGTTGGATGCCCGGCATGTTTTTTTTTTGGGGCGCCTCGTCTGAATACCTTGGATTTGCTGATGAAACATAGGGAATCTATAGGGAATCTATAGGGAATCTATAGGGAATCTATTTTCCCAATGGGAAATCCACTACTTGGGGACTTGGGAGTCTATAAGCTGTTGGTGCTTGACGGGATTTATACGACAGCCCAAATCCATGGGTTTTCCAGAAGCTTTCATTGTTTTGATTGGTCCGGTGGATTCTCATTGGTTATAGTATATACAGTATATACATTATATATATATATATCCGTGGTTATGTATATATATATATACTACCCCAAACTGGACGAAGAAGCATCCCTCTAGGGTAGTATGTATATATATATATACATCTATATATATATATATATGTATATACCTGCAAACCCTGTGTCTCGCAGTTGCTAAAATTGTGATGTGCAGTGTATGATCCTGTTTGCTGTTTGTTTGCTGTTGCCCGGATGGGGTTGGGTGGGCCAAACCTCGCGCGGACCTCGCGCGACATCGCGCGACATCGCGCGGGGCTCGCGCAGGGCGTTCAAATTCACCCATATATTTACCCCGCAATGTGTCATTGCATTTGCCGGTGCGAACTCACGTGTCAAACGCGCTGTGCCATTGGGTCCAACATTTAGCTTTAGGGATGTGTACACTTATGAGTCCAGCAACACAGCGAATATAGGGTTTGACCAAAAAAACAAAAAAACATAACAAACAAAAACAAAACCAGAGCGAACAAAAAAAAACAAACTAGAAAACCAAAATCAAGGAAAAACAAGAAACAACAAAAAGAAAGCAACACCCCAACAAGATAAACAAGGAAAACAACAAAAAACTGCGGAAAATGCAGATTTTATTTTTTTTGCTTTTATGTTTTTTTCTTGTTGTTTGTTTGTTTTTTTGGTGACTCTTAGTGTGGAGTTGTTTTTTGTTGATTCTGTTTTTGATTGTGTTTTTGTTTTTGTTCTATCAACTTTCTCTGTTCTACACGGAAGCATAAGTGTACATTTTGTTACCCACGTTGTGCCATTATATTCTCCTGTTGTAATCTTTCAACATCATAGTACGATATTGAGATTTCCTACAGTGTGGGCAAAGAATCCGATGAAATCAACCTATTCCGAAAAGGTCCCTGCGAAACGTGTGCCCATGTTGTTTTGATATGTTCTGGTTGACTTTTTGCGGGATGTCTGACTTCACGCGTTTGAGCTGTGCCCATGGGGATGTTTGACTGTAGACGGGCATGTCTGACTTAACACCCTCACCCTGTAGAATAGTTCATCACATCATATATATATATAGATATTATGTGTGTCCCATCTAAACCAAGTCATGTTATTGGTATTTGATTGATTATATCGCAATCATCTCATATTCCATGGTGTATATACAGTATATATATATATATACACATATCCTCATCAAGTCCCAATGATATCCCCTTCACTGTACCTCACTGAATCCCTTTTCATCTATATACTATCATTAACTGTATACCTATGAGATATCAAGTGGATTAACCATAGGATTATGTATGTACATCTATGCATATTAAGCGTAGGATCAACCATAGGATCAATAAAAAGGAAGGTAAACATAGGATTAAATGGATTCCCCATAGGATTAACTACATATAACGATACCTAGTGATGTATAATACATATAGATACATATTTATATAAGAATTACCCTCTGGTAAACTAACATGGCTATTGAAAATTGACATTTATAGTGAGTTTTCCCATTAAACATGGTGATTTTCCATAGTTATGTTAGTTTACCAGAGGGTAATCGTCATTGAACCATCGGATGAATCCAGAACGTTTGTCAGGCTTTGGCCGACGGCTGCCAGATATGCCTTCGACCACGGAAATGGATCTGGGGAACGAGGCCTTGGAAGCGGTTGGAGATGCTGAAGATGGGAAGATGGTCAACAACAACGAAGGTTTTACAAGTAAAAAACAAACAGGTTTTACCAAGAAAAACTGGACTTCCAGATGTAGGATTCGTGATCACCACCAGAGTCCACATCTTGAAGTGGATGGCTCACAGGGAGGGGAGGTATACACTTTTGTTTTGCTTCTAGCCATGAAACATAGGCAGCAAACACTGCCAAACTGGATCGACCCAACTCCAGCAGACTGTCCCAGAGTTAATATGGCTTGGTTTGAACATAGAGTACGCAAAAATAATTACTGATTACTGATCATTTTCTCCATTAAACTGATCAATACCTACACGATATAGACCGGTATGCCCTGTTCAACGACACCCAGATTTTTCAGGCCTTGAAAGCGGCGGTTCGAGCCAACAAGGTGCGGTTCGATGTGTCGCTGTTGACTTCGGAAAGATGGTCCCATTGGAATATGAGCCCAACAAAAAGAAGTTCCAGGATGGGCCAAAACCATACCCAGATCATCCATGTTGGGCAATGGAGTATGTTTAGCTTTTACCACCAACATGTTGTTAGTTTTGTAGGTAAATCTACACCGTGGATGTTGGTGGAATGCATCCAGGATGATCCTCAGCACATCCCTGACAACTATATATTCTGGCTAACATCTTGGGCGTGTGTGCACCAGTCAAAAAACCTGGGTTCTGACCCATTTCCATCCTTGCTCCAGAACCTACTGTAGGTCTCAGATCCATGTTCACAACAAACATCCATAAACACTATATATACCATTATGTTTCAAGGGTTTTTGGAGCAAACATCACTTCCCCAGGACGGCCTGACATAAATCTTCTAAATCGGCTTTGACATGTCAGGTGCGACGGATGCTGCAGGACTATGCGCAGGAGGTGGTCCAAAGTGGCGCCCTGGACGGGTTTTTGTTTGGCTGGGAATCCCCAAACGAAGTGGAGGTTTTAATGGTTTTAATGAGAGAAACATCCAACTAGTCCTGGGGGATTTTCCAGCAAGTCATGTGACTGATTAGCCTGGAGGATACGGGGATTTTTACCAAAAAAAACTTGGATGATTTGGCCGAATTTAGCCATCTCGCCATTGAAAATTGTAGGGTTCAACCACTAAAGTGTGGATTTCACTGATTTGGGTTTGTTTCAACATGGGCAAATTAATAGCAACAGCATGGGTATGATGACATACAGATGGTAACATGGTCTTACCAAGGGATGGAGTGGGGAGTGGGCTTGCAAATTCCTGCTGGATTTCCAAACCACCAACCCAATTTTTCCCGGGATTGAGTTGAACCCTGGCGTAGCAGTACGGGATTCCTTTTTGCAACTGAGGCGCACATGTTGTGGTGGACGACTTTCTGCGGAATCTTCAATCCTCTGGAGTGGTGAAAAGTGGCACCTCACCTCTGATAGCTGGAAGCACCATCAAAAATGGGGATGTTTTGATCCAATTTTGCAGCAGACAAATTATGGTGGGATTTGGTGGGATTTTGATCCATTGTGATCCAGGGAAATTGGTGGTTTCACCCCAAGCAGCGATTTACTATAAGCATCACATATTAGTATATTGCCAATTTTCAATGGGAATTCCAGGATCCTAAAATGGAGGTACTGTACCATATTTCAGGCCATATTTTTGTGGAGGTATTCGCTTGCATAGGCCTAAAAAATAGGCCAAAAATATATGGAATCGGTACCTCCAATCAATCGGATCCTGAAATGGCCATTGCCAATTTTCCAACCTGGGCATGTTAGAACCTCACAACCAGACCTTTTTTTGCGCTATAGATTTCATCGCCCGGTTGCTCACACATTTGTATGTTGGAGCTGTGTAGCCGTTTTTTGTGCGTTTCCTAAGGCCTTTAAGGGTCAAAGGTGCAAAAAATGATGGTTAGGAAGGGGAAACCAAGATGTAGGATGCTGATGGTCTTAAATTGGCTTTGGGACTTTATGCAGTTTGTGTGAAAGGTTTGGACCAAGGCTTTTCAAAATTGTGCACTCTGCACTCCACTTTTTCGCGAAAGAATGTGCCCAGTATGCACCAAGTTATATTGTCGTGGGGATTGAACAGCCCACTCCCCCCCAAAGAAATTAGACCCCCAAGAAGAACGATTTATTAACCGGTGGTTATCCACCAACAACCACTAATAGATCTAATAGGGGTGTATTAACAATCTGGGGAGGCTCACCTTGGGGGGTCAGAACTTTAGACCAAGGGACACAGGGAGTCTCGTGGTCATGTTTATATTGAAGCATCCAATTTTGTCCTGACCAAAAATGCCAGCTGCATTCACAATGATTCACATGGCCCTCCCATCTCAATTAGAATTACTCTCCGATAATCAAACACGTCTTGCTGGAAAATCATCCATTTAGTTCGATGATTTTCCCATTATACAGAACATCCATTTCTATAGGGAAATTTCCATTGCTATGTTGGAAGACCCAACTGAGGGTAACACTATTACCACCTCACATCTTGGAGATCCAAAAATGCTGTCCGAGGCAAGAGCTGGGAGGCGGCACTCTCTTTGCAAGATGCCGCGTCCTTCGAAGCCTGGGGAAGGGGAGCCCCCCAGATCCACAGTGATGTCGGTTGCCCTCTGGTAAACTAACATATATAGCTATATTGAAAATGGCCATTTATAGTGGATTTACCCATTGAAACTGGTGATTTTCAATAGCTATATTAAATTACCAGAGGGTAGTTGATATTGCCCCCATTTTTGAAACTAGCCATCCCTAGCCCTGGGCAAATCGTAGTGGACTGCCAACTGGGACCCCACCGCTTTTCAAGGATCGCCGGTCATGGCGATCCTGGCCGAGTTCCGAATCACAGCCAAACTGATCCCATCCCATCCCGCGCGGAATCTCAGGTGGCGAAAGAGTCGGGCATTTCCGCCATGGTGGTCATCTCTCCAGGCCCTGATGAATGTTGTTGATGGATTTTTCACTGGGATAAGCATGGCAGGTAAATACATGGGTCATCATGGCTTATGTATATATATATATATATACATATGTATATATATATATATATCTATATGTGTTGGTTGCATATATATATATATTATAGAGTCTAGAGGATATATGATTAAACAATAGTAAACATATATTACAATGTTTTTTCCTCACTGCACACTGAAGCGTCTGCGTCTGTGCGCTGCGGCAGAGCGCTAAATTCTCAAAAGTTCAAATTCGACAAATTTCACAGAAGTACATTTGCGCACGACCAAATGTCAGCAAGACGACAGGTTGGAAACTTGACATTACAAACAAAACGCCGCTAGCCCAGTTATGATTTTGGACAACAGATGGTTTTGACATGATTCTTCTAACAAATCAAAATGCTGATGCAAACCATACCAACTATATATCTGTAAATATCTGTAATATTCTGTAATCATCCAGTTTACAACTGGGTAACCGAATCATGTTTGTTCACACTGCAATTCTTGGGATGCACGTCCAAGTAGGTTGGATTTGGTGTCGATTTCAGAACGGTGTCCGAGTGTCTCAAGTGGGAGAGTGACCAGGACAGAAACTTTATGGGGATTCATCCAAAGTGAGGAGTACAAGGTGGTGCCCCCTAGATAGCTAAGTTGGTTTATAACTCCAATAACTATGGTTTATAGGTGATATATCTACAGTTAATGGGATTATAAACCAACTTATAACTTGGGGGGCACCACCTTGTAACAATCCACATCCATCCAAAAATGCTGACTGTGACATTGACCACCAACCTTGCAGAATGCAGTCTATCAGCGACCATCAATTGGGGAGATTGGTTTACTGCATCGATATGACGAAATCATGCCGCTTGCTATATGGATGTGTCTAAGCCCAATCATTCAAAACTACCAAAACGGCCATTCTAGTGGTGAAACCCATGGTTTTGGGATCGACCATTTTAAGAAGGGTCCATATATGAGCGTCCATATATATATATATATACATATATATATAATATCATATATATATAATATTTTAATATATAGTATATATTATATATATACTGTGTATATACATATATATATATATATCGTGTCTCTCTGTGGTGCATGGCTCTGTCCATGCCCAGTTGGTACAAGGAGTCAGAGCAGGCCCAAGGGGCGACTTCAGCTGGTAGGGCTCAGCCAGTGGAGATCTTCCATCTGGTCCGCTCCAGAGAACATACAAGCGAAAAGAGACTTTCCTGAGGGTACTCAGAATCACCTGATCTGCGGTCTGCGCCGCAAAAGAACATGCCGGTGACTTAGAACAGAGAAAACACCAAGTGGATCCAAGTGGTGATTCAGATTAACCTCTGCCAGCTAGCCAGCTAGTAATCAATACTCTCTGAGCAAAAACCTGGGTTACCCTCCTAGAATCAACATGGCAATTCAAAATCCACCGCATTTACTTCGATTATTTTCCAATCTATAAAATTCTATAAATATCCAGAATTGCACATGATTTTCCCAGCTATAAACTCCATTTAGAGGGCATTTTCCAGCTTGCCATCTTTGATGATTACCAGAGGGCAATTTTTATGGCACCGTTTCGACAGAGCCAGGCAAGGCCATCATGGACGAATTGATGGCCGCGCATATCGCATCAGGCTTTGCAAAGGGGACGTTTGTTTGTTGGAGAAAAACCATGGTTTTTACCAGGGAAAATCATGACACATGGGGAAAAACCATTGTTTTTACCATGGAAAATCTTGAAACAAACTGGTTTGTTGGAACATGTCCTCAGTTTTGGTCATGGTATAACAGTTTGTCCGCAACCTTAACGTTCACCCAGACTTATGATTGTGACATAACAGAACAATACGTTGATTGGGGAAATAACATCAACTTTATCTTCATGAGGGATTAAAATTCGCCAACCCCTATGACCAATGTTGAATGGGGTAATAACATCAACTTTATCTTCATGAGGGATCAAAATTCGCCACCTCCTCAGAACAATATGTTGATTGGGGAAATAACATCAACTTTATCTTCATGAGGGATCAAACATCGCCACCCCCTATGACCAATATGTTGATTGGGGAAATAACATAATAAACTTTATCTTCATGAGGGATCAAAATCAGGAAGGCGGGACATCAACTCCGGGCAAACGTCCAGGTTGCAGCGAACAGTTTTCATTGTTACATTTTTGTTTAACAGAGGCATGTTCTTTTTTTTTTAAAAAAAAACATGCAGTTTTGTTTTTCGACTCTCCATTGTTGTTGGTTGGCAACTAGATTGTTCTTCCTTAGTGTTCGTTGGTGATTGCTGGTGAACTTGTTGGCTTTGTTGGACACATCATGTGTGTTGGTTGCATCCCCAATCATGTGAAGAAATCATCATACAATCTGGGTAAATTATAACGACCTCACTGTTCTCCCTCACTGGAATCATAGTTAATAAGGGGAATCATCCCAAAATGGCCTTAATTCAGGTTAGTGAAATATTATAATTTACCCAGATACAATATGTTTCACATTCCCTTTTGTCAAACTTTCCATAGGTCATGTTTATACCATTCTTTCCATTTCATCTTTTTTCCTGGTGATTTTCGCCAAGAATGTGACAAAAAACGCCGACCCTGACCCGCCCAGGCACCGCTCAAGAGGAGGGAACCCATCGCCCCGTCTCACATGAGGCACAGCAGGGGAGGTTGAGAACATGATTTTTGGGATTTTCAAATTAAAAAAACCACCAGAATTGCTATATTTTGTGGGGGGAAATGATGATGAACCAATATCTGGTTGGTGGTTTGGAAATGTTTGGAACATGAAATTTATTTTTCCATATATTGAGAATGTCATCATCCCAACTGACGAAGTCATATTTTTCAGAGGGGTAGGTATACCACCAACCAGAAATGATTTTTGGGATTTTCAAATTTAGACAAAACACAGATGTAAGTTTCTCTTTCCATCCTGTTCTGCGGTTGAGACTTGTATAACTATGTTCAGAGATCTTTTCGGTTTCGGGCTGCTGAAAAATGGTTTAAATATAACTATAATACTGTAACCCTTTCTTGTCCCTTGCTGTATCGGTATTAAAATAGCTCGTTGGGTCGGAAAAAAAATCGTGACGTGCATAACTTCGGAAGGCCTGCAGGGATGATCTGGACATTTCATGGGAATCCAGTGTGGATTTTCAAATCGTGGGCGTGGGAGCTGTTCCAAAGTGATTCATGGAACTCAATCAACGAGAATGGAGACATGAACTTGGAGAATGGAATTCCATGAACTCAATCAGTTATCAATCAACAAGATATCAATGGAGACATTCCATGAATTGCTGTTGATAACTTGGAGATATTTGGAGATATATAAGATGCACACGAAAATATGGAGAATGGAATATGCACAACAACAGGAATCCGAGATGGATTTGTCGCTGGGGCACACTCATTACATGGCATTCTGGAAATTTAAGGATCATCAGCTTTGGGGATGCAAGTCGATAGTGTATCTGTTTTCCCGGACCATGGATCTAATGGATATACCCTAGCCATGGCTACAATACGGATCAACATTCTTGGTTCCCATTGGCGGTTACTCCAGTTGTATCCAATTCTGATCGACCCCAAATCATCTTTCAGCGTCCTCCGCCTTTTCGGGTGTGAGTCTTAGATCTATACACTTGTTGGACAATTTTCTGGTTGGTGGGTTCAAACATTTTTTATTTTCCATAATATATGGGGATAATCCTTCCCATTGACTTTCATATTTTTCAAGATGGTTAAAACCACCAACCAGATACACTTGTTGGACAATTTTGGGTTTCAATTCAAATTACCCATTTATAGATGGTTTACCTATTAACAATGGTGATTTTCCATGGCTATGTTAAATAACCAGATGGTAAAACTTTGGTGTTGCCCCCTATCATAGACTTTGTTGGACAGCTGGAACCCAGAAAACGACCTGCAAAAATGACACAACCTCGTCTGAAAAACATTGCCCTTTTCAAGCCCCACATGAGCTCGTCATTTCTATGTGCCACGGTCCAGTTACATTGGTTATAGTTGTATGTTTCCCTAAAATGGGAGGGTTATTCCCATACTTAAGTAGGTATGTTAGCAACTATTCATCTACTATGGCTAAAAATTATACTTTATTCATTTCTCCCCATGGTTGTGGGATTACGTAACATGTGAATCAACCCATGAAGGTTCCATGGCCGCACCAGGGCAGGACCTTCTCGAAACATGCCAACAAGAGCTTTCCGCCGCCGCCGCCCATGGACAGCGAAGCTTGGCACCGGTCGTCATGCCGACAATGTCGAGCCCGGCTCCGGGTCCGGAATGGGAAACCGAAGTTGCTGATTTCTGGTAGGAATTGTTGGCAGATGATACATACATATATATATATATATATCATGTTGTAATGGTATATATATATATATTTTTTTTTTCAATATGTATATCAATATGTAATGTTACAACAAATTACATACATCTGGTATATATATGTATATTAATATACATGTTGTAATTGTAATTTGGCCAGATGTTTGCTTTTTCCAAAGTCAAAAGAGGGGTATTAAAAATTGTATTTTTTCAAGGCTCCTAGGTGAAGATGATGAAGAATCTGGAGCCAGCTACTTTGAGACCGGGGACATTTTGATAGGACATTTCTGTGGGTTCATCAAAAACTACAGGAACCCCCCAAACAAATTCATGGTAAAAAGTAAAAACCATGGGTTTCGTGTAGATGTTCCATCCAAAGTACCGCAAAGGAAGATCATCTCTGACCGTTTAGCCATGTTTGAGATGGCTCAACCACGAAATGCCATCACAACGACGTCATCATACATGGGCATTCTTAATGGGGACTGCCGCAGAATCCGCTACTATCAGCGTATATAATCGAATCGTATACATATAAAAACAAACATTATATATATATTATATATACTAACGCTAGGATTAAGTCGTATCAGCTTGTAAAAGTCGTATCGGGAGGCCGTGCGCCTGGAAAAAGTTCAAGTTTGGCATCACCAAAACTTTTAGTAATTGAACGATTTCATTGTTTTGGGGCCGTGCGCAATTTTTGTATTGCGTTGATTTTTAAAGCTTATATTTAATCACTCTTTCAAGAGGGCAAACGCTGGTTGCTGCTTGCCGGCTGCTGCTGCTTGCCTGCTGCTGCTTGCCTGCTGCTGCTTGCCTGCTGCTGCTTGCCTGCTGCTGCTTGCCTGCTGCTGCTTGCCTGCTGCTTGCCTGCTGCTTTGTGCTGCTGCTCCTGCTCCTGCTGCCGCTTGCTGCTGCGCTTGCTGCCGCTTGCTGCCGCTTGCTGCCGCTTGCTGCCGCTTGCTGCGCTGCTGCTGCGCTTGCTGCCGCTTGCTGCCGCTTGCTGCCGCTTGCTGCTTGCTGCTCGCTGCTGCTGCGCTGCTGCTCTGCTGCTGCTTGCTGCTGCTGCTCGCTGCTGCTCGCTGCTGCTCGCTGCTGCTCGCTGCTGCTCGCTGCTGCTTGCTGCTGCATGCTGCTGCTTGCTGCTGCTTGCTGCTGCTTGCTGCTGCTTGCTGCTGCTTGCTGCTGCTTGCTCCTGCTTGCTGCCGCTTGCTGCCGCTTGCTGCCGCTTGCTGCCGCTTGCTGCTGCTTGCTGCTGCTTGCTGCTGCTTGCTGCTGCTTGCTGCTGCTTGCTGCTGCCTGCTGCTGCCTGCTGCTGCCTGCTGCTGGCTGCTGCTTGCTGCTGCTTGCTGCCGCTTGCTGCCGCTTGCTGCTGCTTGCTGCTGCTTGCTGCTGCTTGCTGCTGCTTGCTGCTGCTTGCTGCTGCTTGCTGCTGCTTGCTTGCTGCTTGCTTGCTGCTTGCTTGCTGCTGCTTCTTGCCTGCTGCTTGCCTGCTTGCTTGCCCGCTGCTTGCCCGCTGCTTGCCTGCTGCTTGCTTGCCCGCGACAATATAGCCCAGCCTAAAGTTGTTGCATGACAGCTGAAAGTATTGTTTCTCGTGCTAATTTAGATTTTGAAATTCTGACTTGCCGGGCCAATCACGAAGCAGAAGCAGAGGCCATGTGCATGTTTTTTTCATTAATTGCTAGTTAGGCTGAGATTGCTACAGCTTTACTGCCTACAAGTCATGTTCGTAAAAAAAGCCAAAGCTGGCCCACATCTATTAGGGCCTCCCTTTCTACCGGCTCAGGCATCTTCGCCAGCGGTGCCATTTACACCGCTTTCACCAGCGTCGCCAGCCTCCCCCGTCCCCGGCTGAAGAGCCGTTCGACCTATGGGATGAGGCGGCCATCCCCTCAGACGCGCCGACCTACCCAGCACCCACGCCCGTGAAGCGGCGTCGGCGCATTGGAGAGGGGAGCGACGCAGAGAGGAGCCGACAGCATGCTCTGCTTGTGATTTAGGCAAGTTCCAGTTGTCGAAAAAAAATATCACTGGCAGGTTTATTTTCTATTGAGCGTGAATTTTCAATTTGTGTGACAAGCGCTTGGGTCTAAATGCAGGATGCTCAGCATGGATTGGTGCGCCGTGATCCCCAACATCTTGGAGGATTCACGCCTCAAGCGGGAGCTGCAGTGCAACGTTTTGCTCAGTGTTGATTGGGGCATGAAAGGTGCCAAGCCCTCAATCATGAGCTTGTATAGCAGCACCCGCGTTGAGCGCCCCAACTGGGTCGAGGCGCAGCGATTTTTGTTTATCCGCACAACTTTCTAAATTCATGAATGCGCCCCGGTGACAACAGCTGCAACTTGCACGGCAGGCATTGGTCGGGAGGGAAGGAGGGCTCATGGTCTACGGCAGCAGGGAGCTCCGCAACAGCCCCACTGCTCTCAAGGCCCGTGAAGCAGTCTGTTGTGTGGGCGGGAAATAGGTTTCCAATCTTCTTTGTTTCTCTCTTTTTTCCTTGTCTTTCTCGTTCTTTCTATCTCCCTTTTTCTTTCCGCCTCTTTCTTCTTCATTCTCGCTGACAGACCTGGGAATGCAAGCCCTTGCTTTGCCAGATCCTGCAATACGCCAGGGGCAAAGCCAAAGCCTATTCGCGCATGCCGCTGCTCCTGACGCCGTCGCGGTCTGTGCCTTTGCCATCCGAGGCGCTTTCTTCTGCATGAAAATTTGCAAATCGCTTTCAGCAGAATATATTTCCCACCTGTACGTCAACGGGGCAAAGATGTTCTCCAGCCGATTTTCCCGTTTCGTCATCAGCATTGTGAATTTTGATACAGGCACTGGTCCGTGTGGCGCACGATGACTTCATTGTGGTCAGCGACGATGAAGAGGAAGTCAACACCACCGACGGCATATCAGACATCGGCCCGGCTGCAGCTGAGGCGGGTCCCCCTATATGGGCCTGCGTGTTGCGTCATGCATCGGTGTCCTAACCTGGTCTGCTAGCAGCTCGATATCATTCATTTTGCTTCAGTCCGGAGGCACTTGGCATGCTCGTGCACACCATGTACAACGATGAGACAGGGCTCACCCTCTACCCTGTCTCGCAATATCGTTGTGTGCTGCCGGACCATCCGCAAGACCAGGAATTTGCAGGCCAGATCAGGCCAGGCAATACGGTCGACGCGTTTTCCAAAATTGTTGTTTGCTTGCTGCGCTGTTCCTTTACCCGGCCATGTGAGGAAAGGGCGTCATGCAAATCTCCGAGCTGCCGGAACATGACCCCTGGGGGTCATCTGCATGCGGGAGTCCAATGTCAAGGTGGCATGGCCGTCCTCTGCAGGCACCTTGCGCCCGACGTTTGCTGTCAACATGGTCCAGGAGCGATCAATGCATGGGGAGGGCTTACAGGGGTTGCTTTCAGCATGTTTTTATGGGGGAAGCACGGTGTGCTCTGCTCACAGGACACCCACAAGGCCATCAAGGTGCCTGGCATCTCGCTGCAGATGATCCAGGTCATCATGCTGCGCATCCAGCTGTGCGCCTTGGATGAGGCGCCCGGAAGCATGAACTTCCCACTCAGACAAGCTCAAGATGATTGACCATACTATATCTATATCTATATCTTTATCTATATCTCTCTCTCTCTATATATATACACGCCCTTCCTGCACACACGCATGCTGCCACATATTACATGATATGCTGGTTGTTGTATAGGACCGCTGCGCGGCGCAACGGGCATTAGATGTTCTTCTTGCAGCTGGGCATGAGGCTGCGCAGGCCTTGCGTGCTACATCTTTTCAATTTATTTCCGAATTCTATTTCCTAACTTCCTGTATGTTTGAATTCCGTCAAGAGCATTGCCGTTCCGGCAGCTTGTGCGAGAAGCTTGGGGGCTGCCCGCTGCCCGCCCCAAAAGGTCCAAGGCCAACAGCAAGGCCAGCGGCGCACTGGCTAGTTACGTGCTAGCAGCAGCAGGCTTCACTCACCTCAAACAGGAATAAGAAACGGGGTTCCGTGCAAGCATAAGCTTGCATCTTTAACGCTTTCATTTTTTCAGCACAGATCTTTTGTGTGCACCTTGAAGAAGTAAAAATAAACTATATGTATATATATATATACATATACATACATGTGTGAATGGCTGCGCCTGTGTACGCACATGTTTATGTACGGCCCGCGTCTTATCTTCTACAATGTCGCGCCAACTCCTGCAGGTGCTTGCGCCCCGCATCCCAGCAGAGATGGCGCAGCTGGATGCTTGGCCACAGCGGCGGGTGCTTCAGCACTGCATCGAGGTGATCTACCAGGAGGTTTGGGCCCCTGCGCTGTTTCAATTTTCCCGCAAGTGACACCAGCCTTGGCAGCGCAGGACCAGATCGCTGACCCGACAGAATTGGCGGTCCTCCAGGAAACTGAAACGGAGAGCAAGCCATGGTGCATTTTGCGAGGCAGGCGACGCGGTATACAAACATAATTGACGTACACCTGTATAACTACGTCTTGCAGGCATTTGCGCTTTGCTGTTTCTGTTGCCCCTTATTAATTGTTATGCATTGCCGCGCCAGGCACCAAAGATGCCATGCAGAGGGGCGGGCGGCGCTTTTCAGCCCTCATCCAGGCGCACAACAAGAAGCCAAAGCTGCCTTTGCATGGCCTCTCCGGATGCGCGGTGATCACCTCCGACCCTTATGGCACGCTGGAGGCAGGGGCAGCTTCGAGTGATGTTGGGCACGCAACCTCGCTTGCCACAGAATAGATTCAAATGCCTTTCAGACAGCAGGTTCATACCCAGGACATGTGCTTGTCCCCGCCCTTTCGCGTAGGACCGGCAGTGCCATATCATTGTGGGTAATGAGGCTTGGCTCGGACGTTTTGTCGTTTGGTCGCACCCCATGATCCACCCATGGGACGTTCAAGTGTGGGATGCAATGCCTCCCCCGAAGGGGGTCAAGTATTGCTCCTACAACACCATCATTTGCACACGCAAAGGTCGTGGTGCGTCGGGTATTCGCAATGCCGACCAAGATGGTGATTTGTTTGGGTTTTCCAACGACCGGCGGCTCTTAGCTTTGTTCGATGCCTTGCCAGAGGGCGGCGGCGCCGCAGAATTCATTGCAGCCGGGGCCCGTGTTAAGAAGAGCTTGAGCGAGGTGCCGCGCAAGGCCCTGCCAAGTGTAGACGCTTACCGGGCCCACATCCTGCCCGTCTGCGGCCTTGTGTACGCAATTGCGGAACGGGTACTAGAGCATGTCTTCTTTAAGTCGCCTGATCCGCGCCAGGATGGCTCCCTGTTTGCTGCGATTGAATTACGCGCTTATACGCATGCTGCCATGGATGTGCCAAAGAAATATCTGGCAACTGAAGTGGTGAGCAAAGCTAACGCATGTCTCAAGGCCGCCGGGGTAAAGATCCGAGGTAAGGGAAGCAGAAAGGTTTCCCAAACCTTGAAGGCGCGCCTGAAATTCAAGCCTGTAAGGCGCGTGGATGCCCTTACGCTGCTTGGGAAGGAACTTGGCAACCACAGCAGGCTGGGAAAAGTGTGGATGCCTCGTTCTACAATTCGGCTATCTGCAGCAGCGGGCGCTGCTTACCGCCAAGCTCTTCTCGCAAGGGAACCAAGGGGGCACAAGGTTGCTACTTCGTGACTGGTGTGAGCTTGAGGAACTTATAGGAAAATTAAGTAACCTTTAAATTCCATAACATCAACTTCAAGTTCCTCAACATGAACTTCAAGTTCTTTAAGTTCATGGTGTAACTTATAAGTGGCACAAGTTCTGGGCAAGGAGTCGTGGAACTTAGAAGCAACTTATGAACTTTTGCCACTTATGTTGGCAGAACTTAAGGAACTTAATTTCTACTTATTTTTAGCTAATTTTAGCTAATTTCTACTTATTATTAGCTATTTTTTTACTAATTTCTATGTATTTTTATCAAAATTAAGTTAGTTTCAAACTATTTTGATTTATTTTTGAATTTATTTTCTTTTTATTTCAAATTTACTTTTTATTAAATTGCTAGTTTATTCTAGCAAACATCTACTATTCTTTCATTTTTGATGTACCTGATAAGCGGCCTTCGGGACGCTCCGCAAATATCAGAACCCACAAATGTTTGATTTGAAAACAGACCCGTTGCTTGTTTTTAGAGCTGCAACTTCCACAGTGCCTTGTGTTTTTGAACCACTTCTTTGGTGACATGTGGGTTTCTTGGTGGCCGTAGCCTTTTTGGAAAAGAGACGGCGCAGACTTGTTTTAGTTTTGTCTGCAATGGCAGACCTACTTGGCTTTTTGAGAGCAGTGGGCCGCTACTTGAGGGCTATGGCAAACCATTTGGACTTTGGAGATATGAGAGATGAGCAGTTTCAAAATTGCCGTCTCAGGATTCGCCAGTCGGCATCAAGTATGCTCACCCCGACATCACCTAAAGTTACAAGGAATTTGTAAGAGTCACGGAACTTCAATTTCTCACGTTCTTAGAGTTTTACCTTTCCGCGTTGTCAAGCCCCCCCGCCAAAAAAAAACATATACAAAAATTAGACCAGATACGCCCAGATACCTCCTTGGGATACCTCCAGATACCTCAGATACGACCCAAAAGCAGCCCAGATACGTCCAGATACATTCATCCAGATACGAGCTAAAAACAGCCCAGATACACCCAGATACGTCTCAGATACGTCCAGATATACGGCCTAAAACCGTCCCAGATACACCCACATACGTCCAGATACGTCCAGATACGACCTAAAAACGGCCCAGATACGTCCAGATACGTCCAGATACGTCCAGATACGGCCTAAAACCGGCCCAGATACACCCAGATACGTCCAGATACGGCCCCAGATAAACCCAGATACGTCCAGATCTAGATACGACCAAAAAACGGCCCAGATACACCCAGATACGTCCAGATACGTCCAGATACGGCTTAAAACCGGCCCAGATATACCCAGATACGTCCAGATACGACCTAAAATCGGCCCAGATACGACCATGTTTTTTTGCATGTGAACATTTTGCCTCCTCTTTAGGCCGCTAAAAGTTTTTAGAAAAACGCAGGTCAAACACCGTGATGGTGATGGTGATGATGATGATGATGATGTTAGTTTTGGTGACTGAAATTTCTGTCTGGTTTCCGGCAGGGCAAGTGTCTGGTTTCCGACGCTTGTATTAATTAATGGTGTTTCCAGCGTCTGGCTTCCGGCGCTTGATTGACCAATGCCTGGCTTCCGGCATTGGTCAAACACCGTGATGGTGATGGTGATGGTGATGATGATGATGATGCCAGGCCCCTAAAGGATGCCTTTTGCAAGTAAACAAATATACTAAAAAAATGAAAATTAAATTCCTTTTCAAATTAAACCTAACATGTGTCTAAGAAAAATATTTTTCTGTGCCTAAACCCAGGTATGCCAACACACTTCGAATTGCCTTCTTCCCTCTTTGGTTTTCCTTTGCTTTCTTCCGTCTGGCCAATTCTATTTAAATTTGAGTTAGTGTCTTTTATTGGTTTCTATTTTTTCTTAACTATTTTCTATATATGTTTAGCTAATTTCTACTTATTTTTAGCTAATTTCTACTTATTTTGAGCTAATTTCTACTTATTTTTAGCTATTTTTTAGCTAATTTCTACTTGTTCTACTTATAAGTAACTTATGTTGTAAGTTCCTTAAGTCTACATCAAGTATCTCAGCTAGCCTCAAGTTCACACCAGTCACGAAGTATGGAGGTGGACCGTGCACCATTGCCCGAAGTTTGTGCAGTTGTATTGTAGCGCACCGACTCTGCAAGCCGGGGAATTTTCACCTTGCATGCCGCAATTGCTCAGCCGAGCCTTTGAAGGGGCACAGGCCTTGCAGGACAAGACGTCCGGGCCGCCTCCCATTTGCTCAGTCCTGACTTTGAAGGACCGTAGTTTGTTTTGACATGGTGACCTGAGAAAGCAGCAAGCAGCAAGCAAGCAGCAAGCAAGCAGCCAGCAAGCAGCAAGCAGCAAGCAGCAAACAGCAAGCATGCCTGTACAAAGTGACGTATAACAATGCGTCACCCGTGCTTCAAGACAGCAGGCTCCGCTTCGGACTCCGATGCCAGCGACGCGTGCCCTACCGCTTCAGCTGCAGGCCGCATTCAACGCGCAGATGTCAGCGCATTGAAAACGCTAAATTTGCGCAATATTTGCTTTACAGCACCTTGTTTTTTGCAGGTCCTTCTGAGAACGCCGTCCGGGCTGCTGCTGCTGTTGCTGCTTGCTGCTGCTGCTTGCTGCTGCTGCTTGCTGCTGCTTGCTGCTGCTTGCAGCTGCTTGCAGCTGCTTGCTGCTGCTTGCTGCTGCTTGCTGCTGCTTGCTGCTGCTTGCTGCTGCTTGCTGCTGCTGGCTGCTGCTTGCTGCTGCTGCTTCTTGCCTGCTGCTTGCTGCTGCTTCTTGCCTGCTTCTTGCCTGCTGCTGCTTGCCTGCCTGCTTGCTTGCTGCTTGCCTGCTGCTGCTTGCCTGCTGCTGCTTGCCTGCTGCTGCTTGCCTGCTGCTTTGTGCTGCTGCTCCTGCTGCTCCTGCTGCTCCGTCAGTGGGTGAAATGATATAGTTCAATCAGATATCTGAACCGTCTCAGGAACCTTTCGAGAAGTACTCGTTCTTCTCCGAGTTGGGACAGGATGTGCAAGAGCTGCTTGGCTGTGATCCCCACGGACCCTTGAGATCTTTTCACATTTGACTTGTGTCTTGACTATTTTTGACGTACATATTATGATCATATTATGACCATATAGATATTAGATCATATTAGATTTCTCAGATCATACCGGATACCTGCAAATGGGCGCGCAATTCATGAATAGATCAGGGTTTCGTTTGGGGAGTCTTCAATATCATTTGATCTAAGAGATTCAAAGTTCCCAGTCACTCCTTTTTGCTGAGGTCGCCCATACACAAGGTAAAGTTGCAACCAAAGAGCATCCCGGTTAACTCGGGAAACGGATTGCATGGGTAGTACATTATCCACCCGCCACGGATTGGTAAATAAATAATTATATATATATATATACAATCTATATATTTATATATGAATATATATATATATATGAATATATACATATGCATGTAATAGACATATATGCATATAATATAGTATAATTATACATGATATATAATTAAACATAATATACAATTATACAATATATATATATATATGAATATATACACACACACATATACATATATATATATATATAGGTGAATACATGTTTTACGTACTAAGTAAGTAACCAGTTTGAAGTTATTGATTGCGTATCTAAGATAGGCTATGCAATACGCAAACAATTGACTGGAAAATCTCGATGAAGATCCTGCCTCTAGTTGTAGCAGAAAAGGACAGGTCAGGCTTGCGAAGGTTGCTGAAAGAAAGCCGCATCGAAGCCTCTGCTAATTTAACAGAGCTATTGAAAATCACCACTTTTCAATACTTTATATATATATATGATGTTATATGTAAATCCTCTATTTTTGGGGCCATCTATACCGTAGCAAACTGTTAAAGTACCAGAGGGTTGCGATGTCCAGGCTGAGTCTGGGCTATTCCGCCTCCTACTTATCCTTCTGGATCAACAACTCCCTTTGAGGCAGCACGCTCCGGTGATCAGAAGGGTTGGGTCAAGTTCGGTGGAATCTTGAGCCCAAAATGGCTGTTGAAAAATAGGACACATGATACAGAAATATGATGAAGCAATGGATTTTGGGAGACATCATGACAAGTCCATGGCTTGAGGGGTCCTTCGCAAGCTTCATACGTCTTCTGAAATTTCTCCTGGGTGGTCACTCAGATTCCACTTGGTGGACCCACAAAAGAAGATCATATGTACATCTGCATAGGCAGTGGCTTGATCGGATTTATGTTTGTGTCTACCCACCTACCTACATACTATCCGTCTGTCTATCTATATACCTATATACCTATCGATGTACTGAGGTACCTGTCTATCTACCCACTCACCCACCTGTCTGTTTGTCTGTCTATCTGTCTATCAAATAGTTTGTGATGTCCTATCTTATCTCATCGTAGCTGATCTTATCTTACCCTATCTCTGTTTGTTTGTCTATCTATCTCCATCTATCCAACATTATCATATCCTATCTTTTCCAGTCCTATCCTGTCTATAATCAGTATAGACACACACACATGTATTCATGCAGCCGAGAGATACTGGGGTTGCATTCAGCACGTAGGTACGGAGGTATAGGATACAGATTGTGAACCAATTTGGGCAAACGGTGCTTGTCGTTCCCTCCCAAGAAATGCTCTTTCCAGGGACCTCTTTCCAGTGAGTCGGTGTCAGAGTTTGCGTTGGAAGGGCCTGATGTGTGTGAGAAACTGGTGATGTTTGAAGGAGTATGGACTGTGATTGGAACTCGCAAGATGTTTTTGCTGAATCAAAAGATGGCCGGAAGTAGTCCGAATGAATTTCAAAGATGTTCAAAGAAAATGTCGAAACGAAGATCGTTTCGCTGGAAGCAAACCTGTGGTTACCGTGGCTACCATCAATACACCAGAGAGAGCGAGGGCAGTGTTCACAACTCGTGCAGGGGTTTGTCGATTGACAGTACCATGTTAAATTTACACTATATCTGATTACACAAAATTAATACATAGGCCATGTGTGGGCCTCTGTGGTTCAAAATTTGACCTTGCCAACAGTTACGGGTAAGAAGACTACTTTGAAACCTAAAAATTGGTGATTCGTTGTTAGCTGAGAGGATGCTGGATAATGTAGACAGCGACCATTGGAATCAAATCCTACAGCCCAACTGATGGGTAGTTGTAACCCATTCAACCCGATCAACGATACCTTGGACCCAATGACTTGCAGACCTTACAGTAGTTCTAAACCATGGTCCCCCGGTCCCGGCGGTCACGGTTTCTCCATGGTGGACGGTATCGAAACCGGTTGATGCGGCATCGAGTGAAGAGCGCTCGGACCGTCGAACCGGGCCCGGCTAGAGCCGAAAATTGGCTGGAAAATCCTCCATTCAGTTGGATGATTTGCGCAGCTACAAACCTCCAATTAGTTGGGGGATTTTCCATTGCCACGCTTGACTGCCGGAGGGTAAGCCTAACATACATTCTAACGGAGGGCTATTTTTTTTGATTCGCGGCAGGTTTTGGATTTTTTTTCGGGTTCCTGGTTCTATGCTTTCCTGTTTCTCTGATTTTCTGCTTATCTGCTTTTCTGCTTGCATTGCTTCTCTGCTTTTCTGCTTATCTGCTTTTCTGCTTGCATTGCTTCTCTGCTTTTCTGCTTCCTTGTTTTTTGCTTCTCTGCTTTTCTGATTTTTGCTTTTCCTGCTCCTTTGCTTTTCTGCTTCTCTGTTTTCCCTGCTTCTCTGCTTTTGTACTTCTGTGCCTTTCTACTTCTACTATTCTACTTGTTCTTTTCTTCAGTCATGTGTTTTTGCTGCTCTACTTCCTGCTCCTTTGCTTCTTTGCTTCCTGTCCTTACTGTCTCTTTGTTTTTCATTTTCTTTTGCTTTATTCTGTTCTGTTTGTATCCGAAATGAACATAGGTGAAACCCTACAGAAATCCTGATAAGAAACCCTACTTGAAACCCTATATGAACCCTAAAGAAACTCTAGAAACCCTAAAGAAACCCTAACCCTAAAATCCTAAATGAAACCGTAGAGAAACCCTAAGTGAAACCCTGAATGAAACCATACATGAAACCCTAAAGAAACCCTAAATGACACCTTAAATGACACCCTAAATGAAAGCCTAAAGAACCCTCCAGAGACCCACATGAACCTTTGAAGTACCAACATGTAGCAAATACATGCAAATACCATGGAAATGAGAGGTTGAAATGCCAAAATGTGACAAATACCATGCAAAATGGAAGGCAAACATGGCCAAATGTAGCAAATACCATGCAAGATGCAAAGTGACCATACCAAAATGTAGCAAATACCATGCAAAATGACAGGTTCTAGTTCCAAACTGTTTCAAATACAAGGCCAGGAAAGAAAACCAAAAAAAAAATCCAAAACCTGAGGCCAAAAAATGCCAAACACTATTCTACACCCCATTCTAACTAAGAACTTGACCCTGAAACAGGCTCAACACAAGAGGAATGTAGTCTTCAACCAACTTCCACCATTCAATCTCCTATTTGGCAGGGTCTATATTAGTTGGAGGGTGTATGAAAATTATGGTTCCCGGTTTTCGTACATGTTTCATCCCTGGGATGTTCCCGTCTATGGATTTGAAGCCTCCCGGCGCAGAAGCCATGGACATTCCTGGCTTCAGCAACCATCCTGGGCCCCGACTCCCCAACTCCCTTTGTTCCAAGTAGGTCTCAGCAATCGGGTCTCAGGAGAAGACTAATCCAGTATTTTTTCATTCATATATTACATACATCTGGGCAAATTATAACGACCTCACTGCGACCTCACTGGGAATCATGGTTAGTAAGGGAAATCATCCCCAAATGACCTTAATTCAGGTTAGTGAAATATTGTAATTTACCCAGATATATGCTCGTATTATATACAGATAATATATTCGTGTATATTCTATATGGACATACGTACAATATGTCTGTGGGTTGTTTTTGTTGGGAACCTCATGGCAATGCTGTAAGAGTTGCCACAAGAAAATCCACTCAGCCATGTGTCTACAATGGTTTGGCTTCACCATTGGGCATGGGTCTACCTGAACATACCTGGGCCATGTTCCTGTTGCAACTGGCACTAGGTTGGGAGGGAAACGATGGCCTTGGCTCAGACTGGTCCAATTTCTGGGTAGATCTGTGTGGGTAGCTCTGGATTTGTTGGTGGCCCAAAATCCAGTGCTTCACGATCATTTTCCGAATTAAAACTCTTATTTGGAGGTACCCTCTGGTAATCTAACGTAGCTATTGAAAATGGCCATTTATAGTGGATTTACCCATTAAAAATGGTGATTTTCCATAGTTATGTTAGTTTACCAGAGGGTATACCATGGTATACCGCATTTTCAGAAAAACCCATACATCATGTTGTTGGTTATATAATTATATACCCTATAGATCCCTATAGGAATTATCCCATACCCCATTACAGCCCCATTTATTCATGGTTAGATTCCCATTATACCAATGGTTTGCCAATACTGCAGCGTTTCGTCTCTCGATGTGGTCGACATACTGAGAGGTCCTACAACATGTACCACACTTCAATCTGGCATATGAAGGAATTCAAGTCGAATGATACCTCATAATTACATATTACAGTACATATACAATCATATAATATACACAATATTTTACATAACACAATCAATCAATACAAGCATATACACTTATAATCACACACACATGGATTCTGGCGGCGGCTGTCTTGACTTTTGCTAGCCACAAGCGTCATTCGCAGACGATGACCATGTACCTGGCATCGGGTATCCTACGGCATCCAGACCAAGATAAATCTGTTACTGTACATGTTAGTCGATTACTTTGATTGTTTAGATATGTTCAGATTCCTTGATTGTTTGAATTAGATTCTTAGATGGGTTTATTCAGCCACTTGTTTAAGAACCAGTGAAACTCACGTCCATGGCCCATTGAAGTATACCCCACACATCCTGGGCCGTCATCGCCATGGCGGATGATGCGGAGATGCAGGCAGGTTCAGTGATAAAAAAGGGATAAAAGGGGTGTTTGTACTAGCGAGTATTAAACATATGTATATATATACACAAGAATATATAAATCTTGACGATATGTGTTTATATATATATATGCATATACATCATTTATCTTTACTACACATGGTTTACAATGTGTATATATATATATATATGCATAATATATATATATATGCATAATATATATATATACACACTGGTACAACACATTTGGGACAATGGTGATTATAATGGATCCTCAATGTCGACTCTCAAAGTCATCGCAATCCATGACGAGCTAGGTATGTATTGATGTCAACAGTGGGGGGGGGTACCAAGGTGTTGACTCAAATGGGACAAATAGATGGAAAATAGATGGAAGCCAAAGACCAATCTTTTTAGATCTTCAGGTTCCATATCAACGGTTTGGTGGTGTAGTTGGGAGATTGGATTGATGGTCACATGGGACTTAGCAGCTGTGGATCGCAAGGAAACCCAACCCTGGCAGCCATCCAAAGCACCGATCCATCATCCATCGACCCAGTGACTTGTCCCTGTGTCTCCATTGCCATGGAGTGGTTGAAACCCCAATTCTCCTGTGTCATAGCCATTTTATGCCCATAACTGTGGATGGGCCAGCGAAGTCCTGCACCACCAAAAGGCTGGTTGAAACCCTTTAAATAATGGGATAAACCATCAACTGGTGCAGGATTTCGCAACCATCCACAGTAGTTCCCCTCTGCAGGCGGTGGCCCCTGGGCAACTTCTGGGAAATGAGGCCAAACGCCAAACGCGTGAAGGTGGAAGAAATTTGATGAAGTCCAGTTAAATGGTTCATAATAATAGTTATATTATTGTATATGATAATAATTGTTATTATAATTATTGTTTTACATGTTATCTTAATATATATATATGGCTTACCCTCTGGTAATGAAACATGACTAGCTGGAACATCATAGATGGAGGTTTTGAAGGGAAAATCACGAATAAGACTAGATCCCTAGCTGGGTAAAGCAAGTTTCCTCTTGGTAAACCCTAAATCTTCTAACAATAAAAAAGCCAATGAAACTGACGTTTTTTTTTGCTCATACCTGCCGTACCATGCTGTCCCCGTCATGCCCCAAAAAATCTCTGCCTCTTTCGTTAAAATTCCGAATGGTCCCCGGGGAAAAACATGACAGTGAACAACACACCGATTTGTGTAACAAGGAGCAAGCTGAATACCATTTGTGTGTTGGAATGATGATATATATATATGTATATATATTTATTTATTATAAACCTAGATAATTCTATATACATATATATACATCCACATACCTAAATATGTATATATATATATGCCTACATGATCGTTGCCTAACGGCACAAACTCATCAAATGCCGCGAAAACGGCAAAATCTGGAACCGTTCCTTTGCTCCGGTTCCATCCCTTTGCATGCACCGTTTGGATGGACCGTGCAAGGCCGGTAACGTCTCTGTGGGTCGCGGTGCATATCTCGAGGGTGGTCAAATCTATGCTGCATTGGCAGGGCAGCTGAGGCGGCTGGCAGCTCGAATTTTGTACTGGGTGATGATGAATTTTGATATGGTTGGTCCATTTCCAGTGTGAGAACATCCCATTTTTGATATGTTGTCCTTGCTTTCAAACATCAAACTGACTCTACCATGTCTGGTTTTCCGACTTGGTGGCCAACTTGGCGGTGAAAAATTGATTTAGTACGCGTAGGTAGATTCTGCAATACACAAGGCTATAAACACGGTAAGTATGGTGATAGCCCCTTTCTAACTGGTGTAGCATCAGCAATTATGACCTATTTACCCACGTCGACTTGTCACATAAAATGTGCCCCCAAGATAGGCAAGTTGATTATTGTTTCAAATATGGTTTATGGTAGATATGTTGTGTATCTATTATAGATATCTATAGTTGGATGGGTTCATAAACCAACTTTATGACTGGAGGGCACCACCTCGTACCAACAAACAAGTACCCATTATCACTATTACCATTATCACCATTAATGTAGACCCGTTCTAAAGTAAATCATAGTCTTTCATTAAGATCTGTCATTTTCTATTAGTTATGTAATGTCCATATAGTTATCAGCAGATATTAATTACCAGTTCCGCATACCTTACTGAGATATTCATGGAATATCCCACTACAAGGTGGTACCTCACTTCTAACTCGTTCAGTACTGTACATTTTAGTTCTCATGGCGTCACATTTCCTATAAAGCCGGACTTATGTTTACCAAGTTAGCCAGTGTAATCCCTACAATGTGGGGACCCCCAGTTATAAGTTGGTTTATAAACCCATATATAATTATATATATATATATAAACATAAATTCTATAAACTGTAGTTATAAGATATGTTGGAGTTATGTTTATCAACTTAGCCAGTTTAGTATGCCATGAATAAGCCCTATCAACATCTATTATTATGTTTTTTTTAACCATGATGGTGAATGATGATTGATAATGATTGATAATATAGATATTGAGGGATATTAACCATAGATTAACCATAGATATTAACCCCATTCAACCATATATATCTAATTATCTAACTGGTAGGATGAACCATGATTCCTTGCGCCAGGCGCAGCGAGACCATGCTGGAGGTGGTCCTGGACGGCTCCGGTGAGGCGCTGGTGCCCACGGTGGGTGCCACGGTGCTGGCGCGGGTGCGGCACCCTGGATGTGGATGGATGGGGATGTTTTTGTTGAGAAAAAACCACTACCATTTGGTTGTTTAACATAGCCATGGAAAGATCCACCCATTTTTAATAGGTGACCATGGCTATGTTAAATAACCAGATGGTACCCGGTTGGTGGTTTGGAACATGAATTTTATTTTTCCATATATTGGGAAGGTCATCATCCTACTGACTTTAATATTTTTCAGGGGGGTAGGTCAACCACCAACCAGCTACATCCTTTTGGGAAGATGTGGTGGATCTTGGTGCATCGCAGGAATCCTTTGGTCGCGGGGTAGTTCCTGGGCTGAATCAAGAAGTAGTCCACAGCAGCCGCAAGTACTTGGGGTTAGGATTGGGTATATTACCGTACCAGTCGGGCCCCCAAACAATACACAAGTTGGTTTTGAACAGTAGGTTACCTGGGTTTGCAAAGGTCGATCATATAAATCTTGTAACATGGGTTATAAATCGACTTAGAACTGCGGGGCAACACCTTGTAAATGTTGTTGTTGTTGTTGTGGTTGTTGTTGTTGTTGTTGTTGGTTGTTGTTGTTGTTGTTGTTGGTTGTGGTGGTTGTTGGTTGTTGGTTGTTGGTTGTTGGTTGTTGGTTGTTGGTTGTTGGTTGTGTTGGTGGTTGTTGGTTGTTGGTTGTTGGTTGTTGGTTGTTGGTTGTTGGTTGTTGGTTGTTGGTTGTTGGTTGTGGTTGTGGTTGTTGTTGTTGTTGTTGTTGTTGTTGTTGTTGTTGTTGTTGTTGTTGTTGTTTGTTGTTGTTGTTGTTGTTGTTGGTTGTTGGTTGTTGGTTGTTGGTTGTTGGTTGTTGTTGTTGGTTGTTGTTGTTGTTGTTGTTGTTGTTGTTGTTGTTGTTGTTGTTGTTGTTGTTGTTGTTGTTGTTGTTGTTGTTGTTGTTGTTGTTGTTGTTTTTAACACTTGCAAGTAGTAAGCACTGGTGCAGCTAGGGTTTTAAACTGGCATGACTCAGACATATTCAGACCCCCATGGTTTAATTCCCACAGAAATCCCTTTTGTTTTGCAACTTCCATCTTCGCATCATTCATTCAGTGCATCATTATTGATGGTTAATACCATACGATTATATATCCCAATGACTAATGGTATTACCATGTAAAACCATCTTAAAATATCTTAAAATTAGTAATAAGATATAATAGGCCATTCATATCCCCATGTTTTTTCGATGAACATGCCCCATGTCAAATTCATGGTTCTGGTTTTCATATCCCCATGTTATACGGTATTATACCAAGGTAATATAACTGTGGTAAATCAAAATAATAGAGTTTCTGGTTTTATAAACTTGAAAAACAAGTTATTTTATATAGAGCACATGAAATCACAATCATCAAAAATAAATCTTCAAAATCATAATAATCAAACATAGATAATACCAGTTCTGGTTTTCATATCCCCATGTTATACCAAGGTTTCCCATGATCATCAAGCCTCCGGGGCCGAGGTGGTGCGTTTGCAGCAGGACCGGGCCGAGTGTGTGGACACCCGGCGGATGCCGTTCACGAAGATTTGTCGTGGGGGATTTAAAACCCACTCGAGGGAAATATGGACTTTATATATAATATATGTATACATACATATGTATACATATAATATGTTTTAAATGGTTCAGCAAATTTTGGGGATCTTGCATGAGTTTACGAAAATTCAAGAATTCAAACATGTCAAAGCACTGTCAAAGCACTGTCAAAGCACTGTCAAAGCACAGATTCTTGGGATATGCAGTGATTGACAGTTATTGCGCGCTCCAATTTTAGAGGGATCAGGAGATCTAACCTGTCCAGTACATACAGTAATTAATTTCGTTAGTTGCTCACCTGATCTCAAGTGTTGATGATCGTTGATGGTCCATGAACAAATGCGGCACTGGTATGAGAGCATACATTCAAACATGTGGAAATCAAGCAGACACTAATAGACTTTGTTGAACATTCTTCTGGTTTACCAGAGACTATCTTAGTCTTCGATAAATGGTTCCAACTTGCAGAACAAGCGCCACAGCCAAGGTATAATTGTGGCTGTAGGTGACCTACCTCTCAGTGAAAAGGTCTGGAGAGTGGCTGCGTGAAAAACCACTGCTGGTTGATGCTTTTGGGGGTTATTACTGTATACTATCCAGTATAATGTCAACCCCGGATTAATAAACCATGGTTTATTAATTAGGGGGGTACTCCTCCAATAGTCATAATCTGATACTTAAATGGTACACTCCCAATTAAACAGCCGTTTGGGGTTTATTAATCCAGGGTTGACATTATTGGGGATCATCATCCATGAATTGGACATGGCGTTCTTAACCACCCAGCAGAATGGAAAGACGTTTCGTGTTTGTAAGACTGCTTATATAGAAGTGAGTTCAAGTCTGAGTCTGGAAAACCATGTAGAACGGTGTGGATTTTTAAGTTACAGGCTACGAGCTAGTTGCCCAGAGGCGGATTGGTTAACTATTGCATCCCATATGCAAACCATGGTGCTGGAATATGAATCCCAACATTTATCACAGAAATGACCCAGTTTTGTAGGGAAATATACCAGCACCATGGTTCGCATATAGGCATGTTAAGTTGGAACACCATCCGTGACAAGGCACGGCTAATTGACCAGGCACTGTGGATGAAGATAGATGCCACTGCGGACCGCGAACGACTTTGAACAGGTTATAACTGGGTCCTTTTGGAAATATCCAAGATCTTGGTATACAGACACACTTGGCTATGTTGGATTGAACAGTAGCCCATCACACCAAACCATCCGGTAAGATTGCTGACATGCGTATGCAATGGTTCATGAACAACAACCCTTCTTCCTACCCTCTGGTAATTTAACATAGCTATTGAAAATTGCCCATTTATAGTGGATTTTCCCATATAAAATCGTGATTTTCCATAGCTATTTTGACATAACCAGAGGGTAATTGAACATCCCCCCAGAAACCTTGGTTTTGTGGGGCATTTAACATATGTTGAACCATTTAGATGGGATTAGTGGCGTGGGATCCCCTACACTAGGCCTGCATCTCCAGCCATGTCTGGTATATTTTCCAACATGTGCGTGATGTTGAAGGCACGTGTAGGTTCATCATAACTTTATGAACAAAGACACACATACATGTAGAACATATATGTATATATATAATTCGTATATATTAACACACGCACATATATATATATATACATATATATATAATTATATATATATATAATTATATATATATAATTATATATATACATATATATATACATTATATACATATACCAATATATATATATACACATGTATATGTCAGTCAGACATGGATGATCTCAGTGTGTCTCAAGACTGTGGGAACCGCTCAAAGCTAGCGGCCAGGCAGTGCTTTAGTGCAGTGCTTTCTTGATATCTATCATTCTCTGGAAAACCATATCTACGGGAAGCGGAAACAAAGCCACCATTTCTATGGGAAATCACCTGCGAATCTATATCCACCATTTCCGGATGATATCCCCGGGGAACCAACGGCAATGCAGTTCCGTGGCATCATCCGGAAGCAAGACGTGCGCTTCTTCGAGGCGGAACTGAAGCATAAACAAAGTGACGTTTGGATTATTTGATTGGCAACTAGCTAAAAGTATGTCATTATTTGTATATGCAATATATATATATATACATACTGTACATACATATAGATATATACATATATGTAGTATATGCATGTATGTATATATATATGTGATATTATCTTATGGGAATATTTGGATCCTTCTCCATCTTGGCACATCAAATTATCCATGATGAGGTTTGCCTCACCGGCTATGGTCACTAGTCACGTCACTGGATTGGTTGAACCATCCATGGCTTTTCCCCATCATTAGCTGTAGCAATGGATTGGTGTTGGGTGTTTTTGCTACAGTGAATGTATACGAAATGTAGAGGAAACCACAAACACCAAATGTCCATTTGTGGTTTCCTCTACATTTCGTGTACATTCACTGTAGCTCACCAAGAATCAGCAACAATTTTTCGCCAGGATGCGTGTGATAGATATGTGGTAAGCCACGCCGTGAACGTCCCTGAGCAAATAGAAATACTACTACTGTACCTTTGGGTTCACGGGAAATCTAACTTTTTTGGTGGGACGCTAACTTCAAGAAGATTCAGTTTCTTTCAGCTTTCTCTTTTTCATAGGGATTCAATTGCAAGTAGACTATGAAACGAATAAGACTTCCATGACGGACCTTTCCCCGGGCCCCCCGAAAAACACAGACAGGTGCATGATTATCTATCTACTGTAACTATATATCTATCTCTGTCTGTATATCTATCTATTTTTCTATCTACCTAGCAAGCCTAAAACCCAACATTTTGTAGGTTTTTTCCAAAAACCAGGTTTTTCTGCGTTTTTTCTGAAAATATGGGTTTTGTTCTAAAAACATGGGTAGTTTATCACATTTTATTTGCAGCAACATATCCCAACCCTTCCTTTGATAGCCCGCCTTGCTTTAGGTCACCCATAACCTCGAATAGCATCCTCAAGTCCAATATCAAGAAGACATAGAACTCCAAGTTATAGAGTCTGTGTATTAATCGACCGTCGACCGGAGAATTTAAATTGCATTTAGCTGTCTAGTTGTATGATGTTGTAACATTGTATGTATTTTCATTCAACCTTTGCGCAACTGCAACTCACATCCTTCAAAGGAATAACATTTGGGATGGGCTAAGTTTGCAGCCCAACCAATATAAATGTCATGTATGTACCTTCACGTACCATGTACATGGCAATAGCGATATCTATTTTTGCATGTGCGTTGAAACATTTGCAGAGGTCCGTTGAAGAGAAATTACTACCGGCAGAGCTTGATTTCATTTCGAAGATAACGCGGTGATCACTTTCCAACACCTGCAGTCCGATCCCGCCGCCGAAAAGGCCATTTTCTCACCAGAAAAGGTTTGAGTTTGACTTTATATCCATTCATGTAAGGTGACTGCAAGAGAGTGCAAGAGTGCAAGATTTTCAGCCAAATCAAACCCCGGAAAATTGCCCAGGTCGTGAATATGTAATATGTGTGTTGAATTTATTGGGACATATGATGATTTTGAAAATTTTGACTGAAAAAAGTTAGGTTTCTACAACAAAACCTGTCTTTTCCCGTAATTATCCCGTAATTACCCCGTAATTGACCCGTACTAAACCCGTATTTTCGGAAATTCAACAAAAACCTTGTTTTTGAACATCCGTAATTAAACCGTACAAAACCCGTAATTACGCCGTAAGAACCCGTATTTTTTTAATGGTTTTTTGGTGTTCATCCTGAATGGCCGCGGTAGCTGTTTTTGTGGGCTGATCGCTGTTTTGCCACAGCATGCCAAGCCGGTATCCAAAATTAGACGAGAAGAGAATGCGGCATACCCGTGAACTCTGAATTGATTTAGAGAAAGATTGCTCAGGCATCTGCGGCTATAGTGAATTCTTTCATCTTTTGGGCCTGTTTGCATTATGATCAAACCTTTTTATACGCATTGCTGCCTTTGTGCACCTCTGATTGGTGGATTTTGTTTGGGTTCGCTGGGCATGGCACCAGAACATGGTTCCACTCGTCACCGTAGCTACTTCACATTGGCTGAAGGTGATGATGCAATGGAAACGGCAGAATTTTCCTAAGATGAACACCCATAAAACTGAATGTGTTGGTGAAGGACCCTACTGGAATCTACTGCTGTTGGAACCACAGGGGATTTGTCAGTACCTACCATTTCTGCTTTCTCTCTTCCACTTGTGTTCAGCAATGCTACTTGCGATTATGATGGAAGAAGGAGAGTGTGGTGATTGGAATGTGTAAGGATAATTAACGATATGTGTGTGTGACAGTAGGGTGTGTGTGTGCGCGCCCTAGAAGGACTTAACATCCACATTCATGACGAATCATGATTTTTCAAGATTTGACATTTTTCAAAGAATCATTGATTTTCAAAACCATGGGTCTTGATGCAAAACCCAGGGTTTTTTCTCAGACCCCACGATTTCATAGGTTCTTGGTTCCACTGGTATATATATATATATATGAGTATATACAAGCTACCATATACATGATATTTCCCGAAAAAAGCCAACCAGATACAGCCACATAATTGTCAATTGTGCTAAATTAAATGCATGGAGTCGGCCCATCAGCTCTTTTGGCTGCAGCTCTTGGACGAGTCAAATCCGGCACAGCAATCCACAACCAGCTGAACCTTAAACATGCCACAGATATCACACACTTGTGAAATATCGCCATGTATGAACGATAGATATTTTGATGGGTTGAGACCCACTTACAATAGGCATATACGACCCCCCGTAGCCACCAGGATAGTAGAATTTAGCTCCATGGTCAGCGGTGACTTTGAAACGTTGTCATGGCCGTTACAGTATGTTTGTACAAATATATACAGCTATACTATTTCGTTTCTTGGGTTGGAAGCCACTAACCATTTTCCACCTAACACCTTAGCAATGGACAATCCTCAGATAAAAGAGTCTACCAGATTATCAAGCAGTATATAAGGGATTTTCCAGCCATGACGATTGAACACACATCATTGATGACCTGGTTCCTTCCCCCAAATGATATTCCAACAGTGAATGAATTAACACATACAAGATGGTGCCCCGCAAGTTGTAAGTTGCTTTATACATCCCATTGATATATTAAGATCCCCAACAACTGTAGTTAGGTCTAATCTAGTTATAAATATATATATATATATAATTGTATATATATATATCTACTTAGTCACACCAACTTAGCTCCGTATAATCCACTCCAACGCCACAGCTGACTGCGTGGGTCCCCTCGTCTCGATGCGTTCACCACTCCGCGCCTTGGTTCACGTTGCGTGCAGAGTTGGTTGGGTTTAGGCTTTAGGGTTACCACCCGGTGTCATCAAACATGGCCAGAAGGGAAATCCCCACCATAAATGGAGGTTTTAATGAGTTTTCATGGGAAATCCCCACCATAAATGGAGGTTTTAATGAGTTTTTTCATGGAAAATATATGGAAACATACAGAACAAACGACCGAAATGATGGGACTCGATCTTCAGTTTCCATGAAAAACACCGCAGTTTCGGGAGTATCTCCCATGTTCCCCATGTTCAGACAAATCCAGATGGGACTCTGATAATTCGTTGAACAGAGCAACAAACATGGCCGCACTCATCTTGTGGATGTCATGTGATGGCTGGTTTCAGAAATTCTATGATCGGATGATAAATGGGTAGTAACAGGTAATAATTGGGATAGAAGCATCGAAAGCGGATGTACGTTTTCATTACTCACCAGTTTGGAACATTAAGGTCCATTCCAGATTGCCGAAGCCACTTGGAGCCTAACAAATGTTTATGTTTGTTTTGTTTAGCGTTATCCTACATAGCCACACGTTTATTTATAGCTCAGTCGCCTATGAATCTGGTCGGTCCTTCTAGCGTGTCGCACAGATCAGGTCCATGATGTTCATGTTTGCACAGAAACAGACGTCACATAGATATACATAGATATACATAGATATACATAGATAGCAAACATGTGCAATGCTACCCTCTGGTAATTTAGCATAGCTATGGAAAATCACCATTTTTAATGGATAAACCCACTATATAAATGGCCATTTTCAAAAGCTATGTTAGTTTACCAGAGGGTATCCCTGAATCTATTCATGCGCACATGCATCCGAAGACAAGCTGCATGTCTCAGCAATCTCTGTGCCAACCCCCAGGACTTCACACTGCAGGATGTTAGTCGCTGGTTTTGGATGGAGCATGATGGAGCCATACATCGTCAATACCACAGCAAGGACACAGTAGACATCAACTTTTTCCAATGGTATATATATATATATCAGTACATTATAATAATATATATTGTATATATATATATATATCATTATACATATATATAATATATATATATCATTATACATATATATATATATCATTATACATATATATATATATACATACATATATATCGTATACATATATATATATATACCATTATATATAATATGTCAAAGTCAGCCGTGATCTGGAGCCTTCGCCACAGGCTTTGCTCAAGGTCTGGACAGGGACCACACGAGTTTCTTGGACCATTGGAACCGGAGTTGGGTTTTTCATGGGGGATGCCGGGATAGCCATTCTATGGTTAAATCTATGGTAAATCTATGGTAATCAATGGTAAATCTATGGTAAATCAAAAGAATGTGGGTAAATCTATGGTAAATCAATGGTTAACCACTGGTAAATCTATGGTAATCAAGAATCAACCATATTATAATGTGATTTTCATGGTGGGAAAACAATGCAATTTTTACCAGCCATGGCTGGCAATGGTTTTTATACCACCTATAAAATGGTGATGACTGGGTGATGGTTTATTATGATTTTATTTGTTGAATAGCACTTTTCATGAGGAAAATGATGGAATGTACATGAAGTGGATAGCACTTTCTCAGAAACAGAACCTTCCAGTAATAACCGAACTGTGTGAGGGAACGACCCCTGAAAATTCGTTGAATCTGTAACGTCTCCCGATAGGTTGTCCTGTGTGCATGTCTTGCACTTGAACTTGAGGGATCAGTTGAACATCTCATACATACCAGACCTTCCGCGGCAAGAAATCTGAATTTTGAAAGGTCCACCTAGAAGCTTGGCGTGGACGTTCGGTTTGTTTGAATTCTAGCGTTCTGTAATTTCTAATTGAACTTTGAACTAGGTTCATGGGTTATTCGTTTGAAAGAAACACTTGAGTTAGGCGCGAAAAAATTGAGTCCCAAACGGGTCTGTCTTCTACTGCATTGATCATTAGCTTCAGTGTCGGCGTGGGTCCGGGAATTCTTTTTGTGACAGTCGTGCTGTTCTTCTGGGTTTTGAGCCAATGAGCGAAGTTCAGATTCCTCCAGATGAACTCATCGTCACATGGGCCTCCAGAACGCGGACTGTTCACTTAACAGTCATTGCTATGTGATCAGCACGCAGCGCGCATGGTTGCGCCGCCGCCGCTGTCGCAATGTCACAGATTTTAAGGGCTGACGCCCCTCGTCGGCTCCGCCGGATTTCTCGATCGTCCATTTCATCGCAGTGTGGGCTTGAAAGCTTTTGGATGGGGACCTGCTTCAGAAATATATTCCTTATGTTTTTTGAAAAAAGTTCATGGAATAGGAACTTTGTTGGAAATAGACGGCTTTTTTGGGGAGCAAGTGAGTTCCCGAAAGCTCCTGCCACGGGTTTTTCCCGAAGAACTGCTGCGAATTTCAACTTGTTACTTCGTGTAAAGGTGCCTCTGTGCAAAGACTTCTCTGTGTAAAAGCTTTTGTGTGTAAAAGTTCCTGTGTGTAAAAACCACTTTGTGTAAAGACTTCTTTGTGTAAAAGCTTCTGTGTGTGAAAGCTTCACTGTGTGAAACGTCTGTGTAAAGATTTTACTGTGTGTAAAAGCTTCCGTGTGTAAAAACTCTCTGTGTAAAGTGTAAAGGCTTCTCTGTGTAAAAGCTTCTGCGTGTAAACGCGTCTGTGTGTGAAAGCTATATATCTGTGTAAAGACTTCTTTGTGTAACAGCTTCTGTGTGTAAAGGCTCCTAGACGTTTGTGTGCAAAAGCTCCTTAGAGTAAAGACTTCTCTGTGTAAAACCTTCTGTGTGTAAAAAGCTCCTTTGTGTAAAGACTTCTTTGTGTAAAAGTTTTTGTGTGTGTAAAAGGTTGTTGTGTGGAAATGCTTTTGTGTGTAAAAGCTCCTCTGTGTAAAGGCTTCTCTGTGTAAAAGCTTCTATGTGCAAACGCGTCTGTGTGTAAAAACTGTCTCTGTCAGGCCTTCTTCGTGTAAAAAGTTCTGAGTGAAAAAGCTCCTAGACGTTTGTGTGCAAAAGCTCCTTAGGGTAAAGACTTCTCTGTGTAAAACCTTCTGTGTGTAAAAAGCTCCTTTGTGTAAGGACTTCTCTGTGTAAAAGCCCCTGTGTGTGTAAAAGCTTGCTGTGTGTAAATGCTTTTGTGTGTAAAAGCTCCTTTGTGTGAAGGCTTCTCTGTGTAAAAGCTTCTGTGTGCAAACGCGTCTGTGTGTAAAAAGCCCTCTGTGTAAAGACTTCTTTGTGTAACAGCTTCTGTGTGTAAAGGCTCCTAGACGTTTGTGTGCGAAAGCTCCTTAGAGTAAAGACTTCTCTGTGTAAAACCTTCTGTGTGTACAAAGCTCCTTTGTGTAAAGAGTTCTCTGTGTAAAAGCCCCTGTGTGTGTAAAAGCTTGCTGTGTGCAAATGCTTTTGTGCGTAAAAGCTCCTCTGTGTAAAGGCTTCTCTGTGTAAAAGCTTCTATGTGCAAACGCGTCTGTGTGTAAAAACTCTCTCTGTCAGGCCTTCTTCGTGTAAAAAGTTCTGTGTGAAAAAGCTCCTAGACGTTTGTGTGCAAAAGCTCCTTAGAGTAAAGACTTCTGTGTGTAAAACCTTCTTTGTGTAAAAAGCTCCTTTGTGTAAGGACTTCTCTGTGTAAAAGCCCCTGTGTGTGTGAAAGCTTGCTGTGTGTAAATGCTTTTGTGTGTAAAAGCTCCTCTGTGTGAAGGCTTCTCTGTGTAAAAGCTTCTGTGTGCAAACGCGTCTGTGTGTAAAAAGCCCTCTGTGTAAAGACTTCTTTGTGTAACAGCTTCTGTGTGTAAAGGCTCCTAGACGTTTGTGTGCGAAAGCTCCTTAGAATAAAGACTTCTTTGTGTAAAACCTTCTGTATGTAAAAAGCTCCTTTGTGTAAAGGCTTCTCTGTGTAAAAGCCCCTGTATGTGTAAAAGCTTCTGTGCGACTTTTCTTTCGGGTCACGTTGTCGTCCAGTTTCAATCTGCAACATTGTTTCTTGTGGAAGAATGCAAAGAACAGGTGAAAGCATCGCAGGTTAAAAAATTGAACATAAACAACGCACAGAGTGCTGTAATATACAGCATTTTGCGCTGTCAGATGGCAAGAACCCGCGTAAATACCACAGTTTTAGTCCCCGAAAGTGGCTAAAACAGTGTTATTTACAGGGTTTCGTTCACGTCACGATCTTCGATTTTTTGAAAAACGCGTAAATACCAGCGTTTTTTGCGTTCATCAACGCAAAAAATCGGTTCAAAAAGGGAAGAAAATACTGTAATTTACACGGGGTTGGCGCCGCCACGGGCAAAAAACTGCGTAAATACCAGCGTTTCAGCGTCCAAAAGTGGCCAAAACACCGCTATTTACAGTGTTTCGTGCCTCCCACGTTTTCTTGAAATTGCAAAAACACTGTGAATACCAGCATTTTTTGCGATCAACCCGCCAAAAATGATGTAATTTACAGTGTTTTTTTGCTTGGCTTTCAAAAACACTGGTATTTGCAGTGTTTTGTGCATCTCGGGTCTAAAAAGTATTGGTATTTACAGCATTTTCTGCGTTTTTGCATTGCTCCCGCAAAAGACGTTAAAACGCAAAAATGTTGTAATTTACAGCATTGTGTGACTTTCGAAAAGCGAAAAGTCGTCCGAAAAATGTGTCAAAACGGCACTTTTTTCCGATTTTAGGTACCCTCAAAATCGGAGGGGGGGGGATTATGCTCTTGGAGACGCTTATGAGCGACCCGGATTCCGGCCAAAAAGCTTTCCCCCACCCTCCTGAAGGATTTTTGGTGTTTTTCCGGGCCCGGCGTCGGAGGGTCGGCGGTTTAGTCGCTCTGGGACGCTCGTGGGGCAAGCCACTCGTGTGGAGCCGGCGGAGCCGAATTCTGGACAGCCTATGACCAACCGCTGACCCAGCACAAACGCATCTGGATGTTTTTTTTCAGTGATATGACACTGTTCACTCAAGTGGTAGGCTTATGAATTGTCGTGAATCAGTCCTTTGTGATCAGATGAGATCCATGATGGACATGGTCCTCAGAATGTTGGTTCGTTTCAACTTCAAAGCCACCATTGTGGATATGTTGGTGGTTTCAATTTTCAAGTGTGCTTTGAAGAGATTGGAGGCTTTGTCATTTGTCAAAAAACTTGTGTAACTCCACAATTTCAGGGGTTTTTGCGGTATACCCTACATTTCGGTCCACATCCACATGAGATTATGAATGACATGTCCCATTCACAGCATATTCTCATGATCCATGCTATACCCCGTGTTTTCTCACACGGTTTTCGCCACGAAAACGGCCCCCATCGGGGCACCGCGAGCGGGGCCCCCGGGCCCCAGGCGTTCTGAACAGCTCGGAGAGAGATGATCCCACGGAGCTCAGCGAGGTGTCCTTCCTCTCGCGAGACAGGCGAGGTGAGGTGAAGCTTTCCGTCCCCGGAAAATCAGATCAAATAACTGGTTGGTTTCAAACATGGTTAATGATGGTTAATGATGGTTAATGATGGTTAATGATGGTTAATAGTGGTTAATAGTGGTTAATAGTGGTTCATAGTGGTTGATAATGGTTAATGAGACAACTGGTTGGTGGTTTCAAACATGGCTTTTATTTTCCATAATATATATTAATATATGGGATGTCATCCTTCCCATTGACGAACTCATATTTTTCAGAGGGGTTGAAACCACCAACCAGATAAGATAGTTCAGTGATGTAATAATATGGTGATGATAGTTAGTTCAGTATGATGATTGTGATGTATGTGATGTTTGGTGATTTTTTTGTGATAATGATTTTTCAGAAAATTGAAGATAGCTTCTGCAGAACAGTTGAATCCCATAGTGAAGTATTGTGGTGATGTATGCTGGTGTATTGATGTTCCATCTGTTGGAGGGTCAGAATTCGGCGCGAAGGGAAGTCTAGACCAGCTGCGGATCACTGAACCTTCTGGCTGTTCAATTGGGAGGTAGCATTTTCGGAGCAGATGATCACTGTTTGTGGAGGTAAACCACCTCTTTAAAATAAACAACAGTTCTGTACAGTTCTTACTTATCTAATTTTAGGGTACCTAAGTTTGAACCACCTCCGCCTCCGCCTCCTCAGAAGTTGAATAGTTTTAACATCGCTTCCTCATACATCCAAGCATGAGCCCAGGAGCCATTGGACTGAGCCACAAGAGGTGTTTCTTGACATTTGCAGACAAGAAGCACCATCCAAATTGGTCAATTTGAATATTTGTTCTCAATATAATTCTTGAACTCGTGACCTATGCAGCTTAATTCTCATATCAGAGTCATGGTTCGTTTTACCATTTTGTACCCCGCAACTGGGCAGTTGCCCAGCAGTTCATGACCACTTCCGACCTCCAAAAAGGCCCCAGCCTCGCAGGGATTTCGTGGACACAAAACACTTTTCCGACGATTCGGATGAGGACGCCACTGGCCCTACGTGGTTTTTGGGGTAGCCACCCAGAACTTCCATTCCTCCTTATTTAATTTAAGGAGTTTTTTTTTAAGGAATTCCACCTTAATTAAGGAGGAATTCCCTTAATTAAGGAGGAATTTTTCCTTAATTAAGGAATTCCACCTTAATTAAGGAGGAATTCTCCTTAATTAAGGTGTTTTTTTTTTGAAAATTCCTCCTTAATCTTTTTTTAAGGAGGATTTTTTTCACTGTTTTTAGATACATCTTTGACATCATCATTGCATCAAGACCAACCTTTGGAGGTTGCTTCAAGGAGATGCAAGATCTCCTTTTGGTGTTTTGATTTCCTGCATGTACTGTTTCTGCATCGCATCTGCAGTTGATTTCTCAAGATGAATAGAGCTAAGAACACTGCTTCTGTTCAAGACCTTTGCACATGTTTGAAAGCAGAGGTGGCTTGTTTGGATCCCAAGGAGTACTTGGATGTTGAACTTGATCAAGTTTGCAAGCATTATCGAAAATTTCTGGGCTTGATGTTCCAGAAAACAATTCGACCATCCAAAGACTGCTTGAAGGAAGCTGCCTTGAAAGTCAACCCTCGCGCTTTGAGTGACGAAGCGAAGAAGTGGTCTTCTGCAATTGTCGAATGTGTGCAACACATCAGAACAAAAACAAAATGGTCAATTTCAAGTAAGAAATATGAGCCTTGGATGGGTAAGCTTGTGAAGATCTATCTGGAGTGCTCAGAATTCCATGGGAACCGGCAGAAAGGCAAGTTTGTTCAGAAAGCCATTGCCAAGCGAAGGCTCATGAGACAAAGTTCCAATGCGAGCTCCATCCCACAGTTGCCTGTGAATGAACCACTTTTGCAAAAACTTCCTCCAGGCCACAGCTCAGAAACATTGGATAGCCAAGAGCATCAATTGATAGAAGTGTCGAGTGAAGAGAGCCAAGCGAGTCCTAAGAAGCCTGTGAGTGTTGGAACCTGGATCGATTCTACTGCCATGGTGGTATGTCGCTTTGTGGATAGCAAGGTGGAGAAAGCTACTATGAGTGAAGGACCAAATGGCTTCGCCATTGCTGCTTTTGGTGAAAACAAATTTGAATCTGAAATTCCCAATGAATCTTTGAAGATCTATAGGCAATCTGCAGGTGGGAAAAAGCCTGCTGCAGTCTTGAAAAGGCCTGCTGCAGTCTTGAAAAGGCCTGCTGCAGTCTTGAAAAGGCCTGCTGCAATCTTGAAAAAGCGTGCTGCATGTGAAGCAGTACTTGGCACTTCTGAAGAAGAGGATGTTGAAGCTCGGCCGGCTGTTGCAGTGGCTGATCCTGAACCTGCTGCTGTTGACTTGGCATCTCCTGAATATCGCTTGGAAGATTATCCTGCCAAAGGCAGTCGAAAGTATGGTGCTTTAGGTGTCAGACGAAATTTTGGAGACAAGAAACAAATCAAATCTTTCACTTTGAACAAAATTTCAAGAGAAGTTGGCTTGGATTTGGCCCAGAAATGCATTGCTGATTTGCACAATGGTGCTACTGAACAATCTGTGATTGAATTTTTGAATGAGGAAATTCGAAAGTGGAAGGTTGGACAGGATGTGGATTAGATTGGATGAAATTGCAAAAAAATGGCTGCTGATTTCTGTTGCATGTTTCAAGGAGGTGTAAAATCTCCTGAGAGTTCTCAATAGGAAAATAGGAAATAGTCTTTCCACTTTTCTGTCTTAAGGAGGTGCAAGATCTCCTGACATTTGGAACTTCAGAGTTTACTGCCTGGGTGGATTTCAAAAATGGCTTATAGACTTTCATAGGATGTGGTTTTAATGTTTAATGTTGGGTTGGAATTCTGGATTTGAGAAGTTTTGTCTGGAATTTGGAATGTTGAAATTGTTTGGCATGGCAATTGCAGTGTTGAGAATGGATTTTGCAACTGAAGCTGCTTTGGCTTTCTAGCTCCTGTTTCAGTGCTCGATTTTTTTTCTTGCTGTTGCTATGGGAGCTGGACAATCAAGTTCCTCTCGCAGGAGGCCTGGAGATGAGGAGATTGACCGTGTTTTGGAGCTGATCAGGCTACAAAACCAGGTGATCCAGGCATTGACACCTCATGTCAATGCCCAATCGCAACCTTTACCACCTCCAAATACACCTCCTCCAGCACCTATTCCAGGTGCCCCTCCAAGTTCTCATGACCCTCCAGGTGCTTCTCCAATGCCCCTTCCAATGCCCCCTCCAAGTACCCCAGCGCCTGCCACCTCGCCTTCTACAAGCTACTTGAGAACATTTCCTGGATGAAGGAATGATCTACACAGGCTGGAGTTTTCTGTGACTGTGGATTTGAAAGCATCTCATGTCAACCATGCACTGTGCATTATGTTCATCATCATGCCTCCTGATCAGGTCCTGCTGTAACCCCATATTCTCCTACATCACCTATTGATGCTGGAGAGCAAGCCGAAAAATCAAAAGAGGATGAGGATTCAAATGTAGATTGAGTCAATTGAGCTTCCCTGGAAAAATGATTGGAGATTATGGGCGCAAGCGAATCTTTAAGGAGGTGCCAGATCTCCTTGATAAACTAAATTTAAATTTAAGTAAAACATGATATCTGTGATATGAGCATTTCTGCATGGCTGAAGCTGTCGAGTCATATTGATCAATGCAGTTGTGATGGACCTGTAGAATCGTTTTTGAAGCCTTGATGGATGCACATGATCAGCTTTGGAATGATGATGAGAGCTGATGATCTGAACCTGAGGTATCACAATCATTGCACTAGTGTCCAATACTGGAATCAAAAAGGAGGTGCAAGATCTCCTTGGCCGAAGCTGATGCCCATCCATTTCCTTTGTTTGAGTGGCTCTTGGCAACTCTGGATACAATTCACTCAGGTCATGCATGATGACTGTAAAGGTTTCAAATTGGAAAAATAAGGAGGTTAAAATTGGTTAAAATTAAAATTGCCAATTTTAATTTTAACCAGTTTATGTATTACTTTTAAAGGCAGGATAGGTTAAAATTAAAATTGGCAATTTTAATTTTAACCAATTTTAACCTCCAATAAAAATCACTTTGGATCCAAGATAGAAACCATCGGATTTGGAACTGGAGATTCATAGACATCACAACTTACTTCATCATTACACTTTTCAGTTTTCAGTGAAAGGTTCAATGGAACCTCCAAAGGAACTGCCTCCATGGAGGAAGCAGCCACTGGCCACTATTGAGAAGAAATTTGTGAACCCAATGGACAAGCAGATCTCAGGCCAGGCTTTGGATGACAAGGGGGTCAGTAAGCCTTTGAAGGAGTTTCAGAATGTGTGCAACAGTCTGAATTCCTGCAAGAATGCCTGGGAGAAGGAGCTTGCCAAGGCCCAGGACCTGGCCTGTCGTTTGGAAATCAAAGGTGACCCAAGCTTCCATGCCAAAGGCAAAGGTCTTCAGACTTGGTGTCAAGAGCAGTTGAAAGCCATTGCCAACCTTCGATCCTATGTCGCAGCCAGTGAAGATCTTGCTCCTGAGGACACTTCTCCTGAAAGCCTTTCGAAATCATTGCCTGCTGCCAAAGCATGGCTTGCTTCCAGCCAAGAGAAGCTGCAAGAAGCAAAAGCCAAGGTGAAAACTCACCAGGCATTGCTGTAGGAGCTGTTTGGCCCTTAGATTTTGGAAAGCGCATTTGGTGCAGTTGTCAGTTTTGGAATGTGGAAATGCAGATTAAAATATCGCAGGGATCTGCTTGGAAGATGCGCAGCTGGTAACTGTCGCTGGAAAAAGAGCCTGCTTCTAAGCTGGTGTACAAGACTCAAGGAGGTGTAAGATCTCCTTTACTGTTTCCCTGTTTCAAAGCATTGGCCAAATTTAGCATTAACTAAATACAATGTGTAACTTCTTGTCTTCTGAGATCTTATGAACTTTTATGTTGACATGTTTTTCCAGCTCAAGCCATGTTTCACAAGAGAAAGGTAGATTTGTCTACCCTTAGGGAACCTGACCAGAAGAGGTTTCGACACAATGTGTCCAATTTGTTTTTGACCAAGACTGTCTCTGCTAGAAGAGCCAATGAGCTCATGAAAGATGCACAAATAGCTGGAGCCGCTGGTGTGAAAGATTTGGTAAAAGGTGCAGAGAAATCTGGCAGTGGTGAGAAGCAAGCCAATTGGGAAAAGAATTTGGCAAGGGATATGAAAAGAAAAATGTTGAAGAACTGCCCGTGGTTCAATGAATACATTGCATTGATCCCTTGCTACAATCCTGAAACACAAGCAGAAGAGATGAAGAAGATACCTTTTCTTTTGCCACATGAGATTCATTTTGTCTTCTCGAAGCGCTCTGAGAAGAAAGACTTGCTGCAGACTGGTGGCATGTGTGAACTCAGCAAAAAACATTTGGCGAACATGCAAATGCAGTTCCAAGTTCGAGAAGCCATAGGACTTGGCCTTTGGATCGATGGCACACCTTACAATTATGACAGAAGTCAAACTTTGGAATGCATCTCATTGAATTTTCCTGGCTTACTTCCACCTAATGGTACTTTGCGAATCCCTTTGTGCTGTATTCCAAAGCACTGGTGCATCAAGGGAGTAACTTTGTCGAAGATGTTAGGAATTTTGTCTTGGTCTTTTATTCACTTAGCCAATTGCACTTGGCCTTCAGCAAGGCATGATGGCAGCTTTTGGCACCCAGGCGGCAAAAAACGAAGCACATTCAATGGCAAGGCATTGCCTTTCACTGCTTTTTTACTTGAAGTGAGAGGTGATTGGGCTATGAGAAAAGAAGTTTTCCAATTTCCTGGATGGCGAGACAAACAAGGATGCTGCCATTTGTGCTTGTGCAAACCAATTGAAATTCGAAACTTTGAAAGCTGCAAGGCATTTGATCCTTTGGACCATTTCACTTTGTTGCAATCCATTTCCAATTCTGGCATTGACATCAATGAATTGTTTCAAACACCAGGACTGACAAGCAAACAATTTCTTTTGGACTGACTTCACATTGTGGACTTGGGCGTGGCAGCAGATTTTATGGGCAATGTTTTTCACCATTTAATTGCCTCTGGAAATCACTTGCCTGGCAACAATGTCAAAGAAAGGGTGAAAAGCTTGTTCCACAGAATTCAAAGCTACTACAAGACTGAAGGTGTGGAAAACGGGCTTCCTACTTTGACAGTCCTCATGATCAGAAAGAAAGCCAGTTCAAGTCCAAAACTTCGAGCCAAAGCTGCAGAAGCTCGAGGTTTGAGTGCTCTTGCAAAACAAATCTGCGATGAATTTTTGGCTGATGACAATGTGTTTGAATATACAATCAAGATGGCTGCCACAGAACTGTGGCAATGTTATTCTTTCTTGTCCAAGAATCTATGGAATCACCAGTCAATGCTGCTGCCTGGCAGAAAGTTTTGCTGGTGTGCAAGAGCTTGGAAAACGAGACTGACCATACTTAGAAGATCAAACCAAAGCACCACAGCTTCTTAGATTTATTGCTCCAGAACTCTTGTCCATCAGACAGTTGGACATATCGAGACGAAGACTTTGGTGGCTTCCTAGCTCACTTAGGAGCTGTGAAAGGTGGAAGCCACAACCCTTATTCCATAGGCATGAGTGTTCTGCAAAGTTTTCGAGCACAAGTGATTCCAGAGCTGAAGTGAAAAGTTTTGCTGCCAGGATCTGGGATAAGGAGGTTTCAAGTCTCCTGCTGAAGGAGGTGCAAGATCTCCTTGCAATTGAAAATTTAAGGAGGAATTTTAAGGAGGAATTTTTCAAAAATTCCACCTTAATTTAAGGAGGAATTTTAAGGAGGAATTCCTTAAATAAGGAGGAATTCCTTAAATAAGGAGGAATGGAAGTTCTGGGCAACCATGGCACATGGAAGGTCTGGAGTCTGGACCGTGGTTTTCCTATGTTTTCCTTGTTGAAGACAGGGACCGATATATATTCCATGTGAAAAATTGCAGCGGCTCTTGATATGGTTGAATTCTGGGATAAAACATGGAGAATGGTCAAGAATTTCAACCGATGTAATGCGGTAAAGCCAATTAGAAGCCACTACCAGTTTGACTAGAAATATATAGACATGGGTGGTAGAACCAATCCTTCATTTACAACTATCTTTGGGTTTACCACATTGGCAGGCGTTTGCTTGTCGTAGAAGCCTAACACAAGGGTTTCGGTAATGGGTATCATCATAGTCAGTGTGGATGGTGGAAACTCCCACGAATCAACTAGGGTTTATTTCGAATCCGCGAGAGGTGAGTCATAATTTGAATGGCTAACTCTATGTTGTGTTGGCAACGTCATAACTGATGTTGCTGAAGCATCTCAACCCCATTTGTCATTTAGTTACTTTGCCCCCGCATTTCCACAACTATGGCCATCCATAGCTAATCAGTACATCCATAGCGTGTACATCCCCATGTTTCCTGCTAAGGACACATCAGTTTGCAGCTTCTCCATGGATATCCGTTGTAGACTTTGACAAATGGTGGAAATAATGCCTAATCTTTCTAAGCCAGTTTAATGTTTTGAAATTTATCCTATCTCACCTAAAACCATATTCTTTGTATTTCTCTATGGGGATCTCATTTTAGCCAATCAATATCAATCAATTTATCAGTAGCTTGCATAAATTAGCCTTTTAATCACGCTTCATGTTTAGATCCAGATTTGAAGGTGAATCACCCGTTTCAATATACCCTAATCATCATTTGGATTATAAACACAATAGAACATATAACTCATATAAATATGTTTGTATATATATATATATACGTATATATAAAAGCAATGTATGCAGTGTCAAATGCCCTGTTACGTCATGTTTTGCTTGGGCATTATACTACCTTTGATTTGATATACTTGATATACTGGGGATGATCACAGTCATGAAACTGGGAGTCTCGTTCCTAAGCAACCAGTATGAAGGGACGTCCGAGGGTTTTGAACACTGCTCATTTGATGGGGGCATGACATATCCCACAATTTCAATTGCATACAATTGCCAAAGTGGGTATATCATACATCACCATTTGGTTGGGACATGACATACTGTATCCCATCAATGGACATACCATACCAGGAGGTATATATATATATACTGGTGATATAAGCTTCACTGAGACGATCACCAATCTGGCAGTTTGCAACGAAGGGCGTAATGATGATTGCATACAATATACTGATGATGTTATATAGTTATATTGTTTTACTATACATGTACATACTGTTTATATTACATGACATATCAATAGTGATATTACAATCAATGATTAAAGTACTGATGCCAGGTATGGCCCAATAGTATTTACTGATTGAGTGAATTCAGTATATATTACCCACCCAATATTCATTTTGATCCTGATACTATATATGTATATATATACACCGTATAGTGGTGATTTTAATGGCATTTATCTGTATATATGTATATACATTATACCAATTTTATGTACCATTATTTACCGATTGCATACCGGTTATATCTCATTATATACCCTTCTATACCATTGTATACCATAATATTTATATACCATTATATAATATTATATATATATGGTATATAATATATTATCGACATATATATATATATATTATGGTAGACACCATTAATATGGTTATTATATTTTATTTATAACATACTAATATACACCATACCAATATTAAGCCATCCCCCAAAAAGATCTCACCATTTTCCGAATCCAGGAGGACCACCTCCTTGGGCGGCGGCAGAATTTGCTGGGCTACGCCATGGCGTCGCAGGGGCGCTCAGTCATTTTCCCACTTTTTCAACGGGTCCATCCTGCGCTGACCAGCGAAAACCATAAGAAAAACGTAGGAAAAGGATAGGAAAATGGTGATTTAACCAAGAAGAATGGGAATTTCATGGGATTTAGAGCTGATTTCTGATAGCAAAGTGGACTTACAACTTGGTTGATGTTTGGGTTGATTAGGAGGATATAACATGATATCACTATAGTCAATGGATTTACCCCCCAACTTGTAGCTGGGGCTACAAGCTTCGGGAGACGAAGCCTAAAGGATGGTACGAATCACTGGTTATCATCAATTTATTACGACTACTTTCGCCAAACATATCCAAAAATCAAAGCAACATAAAGTCGATACGCCCTAAACGAAACCCTGGTGAAATGTATTGGGTCGATTTATGTTTGGTCGCCTAATTTTAAGAGGTATTTTTTTGATCGAAGGATGACCTATTGGGTCCACCTCAATTCATAGCACAGAGCTTCATACCTCCATATTGAATAATGAATCGCCGGGTTTTGCTCCATATCAATGATTTCCTGCGAAGAATAGAGAAGAGCTGGAAAAATTGCTAAGCACATTTGGAAATCGTAGGGTTATCTGAGCCGGGTAACTCTAAATCCACTGGATCAGCAGCTGTTTTAAACTGGATATATGTAGTTGGTCGTCATCCCGTTATATCCCTATTGGATACCACTCAAAATTATTGGGCTTATCTCCCTCTTGTTTGGATTGGTTCCATATAATTCCCAGTCATTTGTTGGTCTTATTTTCCCATTAACTGTATCCCCATTGAAATTGTTTATACCCATTGTATTCTGTAGATGCTGTTGGTTTTTATATACCCACTATCTACAAAGTCGATATATTTGATTAATGTTTGTGTTTATATCCACATACATATATATATATATCCATATATATATATATATCCATATATATATATATCCATATATATATATATCCATATATATATATATCCATATATATATATATCCATATATATATATCCATATATATATATATATATATATATCCATATATACATATACATTTAAATCCACATATATATATATACATATACATATAAATCCATATATATACATATACATCCATATATATATATATATACACATATAAATCCATATATATATATATGTATTTATATACATATAAATCCATATATATATATGTACACATATAAATCCATATACATATATACATATGTGTATATATGTATATAAATCACATATATATATACATATCGGCAAATGCCTGGGCTTTGCCCGGAACCGCAACCACGACAGGCAACGCATCATCATCATCATCATCACCATCATCATCATCACCATCATCATCATCATCAAACCCTTGTTGAAGATCTTCGAAGTGAAGATAGAAGTTTAACGGGGGTGGGAGGATTAAACCCTTATTGAAGATCTTCAATGAATGTAGAAGTTTAACGGGGGTGGGACTTTAATATTCCCTAATACCTTTGTTGATCTTCTCAATTGAATGTAAAGTTTAACGGGGGTGGAAGTTTAATATTCCCTAGGACCTTTGTCGATCTTCCCAATTGAATGTAAAGTTTAACGGGGGTGGGGGGTTTAATATTCCCTAGTACCTTTGTTGTTTTCCCCACAGGAATTTTGTGAAGTTGCATCAACATTTGTTTGGTAATTAATGGGAAACCTCTACGCTGCAACGCCTGGGCAAAGCCCAGGCGTTGCGCGCATATATATATATACATATATATATATACATATATATATATATATATCCATGGCCCTTTGGGCATATCATGCACTTGATTGACCACGATCACGTTTCACAGCATTTCAGATTTCACATGTTTCGCGTCATTTGTTTCACTTTCAACGTGCGACAGCGCCCTTTTCTTGACAACTGATTATGTGATAAATGAATGCATATATATATATATTTACATGTATCCATATATATATATATATATATATATATCCATAATTTTCCATATACATCCGTATATAAATATATATATATATAAATATTCCCGTTCAAGAATCCCTATCTCATCATTTAAAACAATTTTGGAATGTTCTTTTTTCAGCGATTCGCCTTGACAGTTGCGGAGTTTGCGCTCTTTTTGCTCTAGTGTTGCTTTTCCACTCCTTTAGCGGCCACCTGGAGCGAAATTGGGGGAACTTGCATGGGATACAATTGGGACATGCAGTGATGGGGCTCCAGTTCGTTAGCTAAGTTGGTGAACATGACTATAATAACAATGAGTGTATGATACGCCGATACGCAAATGATTCTATTTAGATGGGGTTATAAACCGACTTATAGCTGGGAGGCATGATCCTGCACAGTGATGTGGATAATGGACTTACAATGCTGATGTATCGGGGTTTTGAAGGGGGATACTGATACTGCTTGTCAAGCGTACAACATGGATTGTAGCTTTGCAATGGGGATATATTGTACTTGGGATATGGATATAGCCACCACAACGCAAGGCAACCACAACGTTAAGTTGGGTGTAATTTGCCAATCGTATGGACATCTACTGTAGTCAAATTTGAACATGTTTTAAGTGAAGACTGGAAGTTTAATTTTCACCCACAGCTATATAGGTCGCACTAGGTTGCTTCTAATCTGTAGGTGAACCATTTCCCAATTGTGACGGGGATCCCAGCGGGGAGCAGACTGGTGCAATAATGGGCGCGGGAGAACAAGCTGGATATGGGGTTGTCTGAAAATACGGTACTCCTACATCTATGTAGCGTTTTTTTTCTGATTGGTGGTTTGGAACATTTTTTATTTTCCCCAATAGTTGGGATGATGATCCAATCTGAATAATATTTTTCAGAGGGGTTGAAACCACCAACCTGCTTTTGGTTTACCAAATTTAGGATTTACTGCCGTTCTCCTTTTGCTCATTCAGCACGGCTTTCTGTTCTATGACCTCCTGTCGACACTGCCAAAAGTGGGAGGTCGACAGAGGAGGCCTTTGTGAGCTTTGTCGGGCTATATTTGGAGTACTCAATTTGGTTGGCAGGCCAGAATTCCTGCCGGAAGATTTCAAGTTTGCTTTGGATATCCAGACCCGCTTGCTAGGGAGATTGGCTAGCAACCTTGGATCTCCTGCTGTCTTTGCAGCTCTAGGAGATCAATCATTTCCTCAACATCCTCCTTCTGTTGGTTCAGGAGGGGAAAGGTTTCAGGAACAACCCCAGTCACGATATAGGCCAGCGGCAAGTTTACGCAACCCTTCACCATCCCCAGATCCCCGGGTGGGAAGTGTTTGCGCCAGCAGAGACCAGGATCAAAAAAGGAGAAGGAGAGAGGACTCCCGTGACAGCGAAAGATCAGTGATCCCAAGAAGGAGGAGAAACAGCCCATTAAGTTGGAAACCTTCCCTCCGCGAACCTGCAACAAAACCCTTGCACCTTCGCCCCGCCAAGGCTCCTGTGGTTGTACCTCCTCGGGCTATTGTTCATAAGAAGGCCGACTATAGCACAGCAAGGCAGCCCCCTTATCACAACAGCTCAAAGGCCCCAAGCAGGAGGCCTCCCTCACCTCCACCTAAACCTACTCACCCTCCTCAATCCAAAGGCTCAGGAGGAAAGTCCAAAGGCAAAGCGAGGTCCCCCTTCCAAGGCAAAGGTCAAAACATTTGGGCCTGGACCCCTTCTGAGCCAAGTTGGGGCTGGACAAAGACCAAGAAGCCCAAAAAGAACCGGGGCTTGAAAAGGGTCGAGTGGTGGAACGCGAAAAAGCAAACACTTATTGCGAAAAGCCACACGCCCCCTATCCCTGTTCCCGCAGCTGCAGCTAGCGTCTCTGACACTGCATCTGACGAGGCGTCTAGTCCTGAGGAGGTTTCGGACACGGATCCTCCTGCAGCTCCACCTGACCCGGACAAGGCAGGATTAAACAGCGCCCCAACAGCAGCAAAGGAATCTGGCACAGCAGATCCCACAAACAACACCCCCATAGAAATTCTTGAGGACAGGCCTGCAACTACCCAAGAAGAGCCCCGTCAGTCGTGGGCTGATGCCTCTGAGGAGGCCCGCGGCAGCCCGCCCCGGAATTCTTAAAGCGCCAAAGGCAGCACCCAAGCCCCGCTCCAAACCATCGGCCAAGCCAAAAACTTCTCCGCAAACCTCAAGGCAGAGACGCCAAGAGGCCCCAGAAACAAGTTCTTCATGGAAGCCAATCAATCAGATTCCCCCAGAAACATTGCCTCTAGGATCCCGGAAGCACGTAAAGCTGGCCTACGGGAGCGAGAAAGGCGAGGCCAACATTCTCTTGAAAGACCGGGTGGAGGACGCATATGGCCATTGGATTGGTGCTCAGGTGCTAGGGACCAACGTGGCAAGCCTGCGTCAATGGCAGCTCATGAACCCGGCGGACAAAGTTTATCTTGGAACCAAGGTGGTGAGAGAATCAGAGAAGGCAGAGGAGATTGGTTTGGGTTATCTGCTGGAGGTGAATATGAACGAGGCGACCGTGACAGAGCCTTGGGCCGAGAACTGCTCCGTTTCACTTCCAACCCCACCAGGAGTTGCGGACGAGAACCCCGATCTCCGCCAGAAAGCAATGCAGTTCGGCTTCTCCCCCGGCCAAAATTCTGCAGGAGCAGCAGATCCCCCATCCCCAGGCGAAGGTCCACAGGGGCAAGCAAAAAAGAAAAAGTCCAAGAAACAGCAGGTCAAGGAGATGGTACTGAAGTCAAAATGGACACCTGCACGGACTCCCCTCGACCCATCTTACCGCCGCCCGATCAAAATTCGCATGAGTCAGAAGCGCAAGGCCTCCTCCAGCTCAGGGTCAACAACAAGGAGCTCATCCACCTCAGAGGATCGAAGCTCAGATCACCAGGTGCACCGGGTGGCGAAAAAGCTGCCGGGGTATCTAGCCCGTTGCTGTTGCAAGGAGGCGAGCAATCTCCTGGCCCAGGATGTAGGGGAAGAGGGATCAACTTATGTGGTGATGCAAAAATATTATCGCCAGATCTTGCTGCGACGCGGTGGCAGTCGACCACTTCTTCGCGAAATGGCAACGTTGTCATGGGGAATGGACTTGCTTCTGCAAGGAAAGATTTTGCAGCTAGCCGATTTGTTAGCACAGCGACTGAAGGCATTGGAGTTGATTCAGCAAGGGACAACTGGGGATTTGGCTGCTCAGCTAGAACTTCTTCCCAAGGAGAGCCAAGGGCTCTCCTCTCAGGCGGAGGCCAGGATAGCAAAGTCAGAGTTTTTCCAAGAAACCAAGTTGGCAAATCAATTGAAAGGAAAAGGAAAGAGGCCTTTTGCGCCCCCTCCTCCCCAAGGGAAAGAAGGCAAAGGAACGGGAAAGAGTTGGGACAAGAGAGGGACAAAAGGCAAGAAAGGAGACCAGCCACAGAGCAAGATGGTGGAAGTAGGGCCCTAGTGGGGACAGCATGTGACATGCACAGGGCGCTGAGCCCACCTCCTGGGAATTGGGATCCTCCTGGCTCAAACAAGGAAGGCTCAAATTCCCAGAAGGGCACGCATGGATTCCAACGTTCTGAATCCAAATCCTTTCGACGCCATGGCGCATCTTTGCAGCGCGGCAGCTTGTGCAGGGAGGCGCATAGTGAGAGAGGGTTCGGATCACTTGTGGCCAAGGATTTGTTTGGGTTGGGCCCACACATGTTGCGGTTGCTGCCCTCAGTCCAGGGTTCTGTTGGCAAAGCTATGCAGGACACCTCCACGGAGGATATTTTTCCCCTCCCTTCACCCCTAGGGATACAGCCCTTTGGGTGTGAAGTTTTGGAAACCTGGGCTGAGGGGGTGGTAAGATCCTTGAATTGGTTGTCCTGTCGTTCGTTTTGTTTGGGCAAAGGTCCCCCAAGTAAGAACCAAGGGTTGCTCTTGCGGGAAGTTTTGGGAAATTTGAAGCACCCGCAAAGCTGGAAAGGGGTTGACCTTAGTAATTTCCACCCCCAAGACATGTTTAACCAAAAATTGGTTAATGCTTACGGGGTTGAAATTCATGTTGCACATAGCGTTCGGTGGGAGAACATTAGCCACAGCCTTCCCAAGGAAGGTGTTGCAGGCATTTTGCCGGCCAGAGATGTTTGCATAGGAGGCTTCAATGATTTCATCAATAACCCAGAGCAATGGTTAAAGCCTCCTCGGTTTCGAAGCTGGGTGAAACCCCCAAAAGTCATGGTTTCTGATGTGGAATGGCCTAGGGTTGTTGAAGGCCTCTTAGGCCGGGGGTTGTGCGGTATAATGCCATTGAGTGATGTGCTACATGTCGATGGCGCGCCCATACTAGGTGGGATGTTTGGTGTGCCCAAAAATGAGACCACGGCGGAAGGAATAGAAATTCTGCGACTTATAATGGATTTTCGACCTTGCAATGAGAATTTTCTACACTTGGGAGGGGACCTCAGTACCCTCCCGGTTTTGTCTCAGATGTTCCAGCTGGAAATTCGCCCCCATGAATCAATTGTCATTTCAAGTGAGGACATTAGAGCCATGTTCTACATCATCGGTTTACCTGACTGTTGGAGGCATTACTTTGCTTTTTCGAAGCCGGTTCCCCAACAGTTTTGCCCGCCTAACACCTCTGGAACATATGTCCTCTATAGCCGAGTATTGCCAATGGGATTTTTGAATTCGGTGGCGGTGGCGCAACACCTCCACCGTCAGGTGGTGGCGCAAGCTCTCAAAGGTTCCATCAGCAGCTCGTGGGAAATCAGGCGTGACCAAGAATTTCCCCGTGCTCGGCAATATTTCAGAACATATTTAGATAATTTTGATGAGCTTTGCATTCACTCCAAGCAGATTCTGTCAACAGAGCATTTGTCTCTGGTTGAGCTCCTTCAATCCAAGTATTCCGAGCTGGGAATCCCTCGGAATGAAAAGAAGGCCGTCTCAAATGCGGAATGTGCTGAAATTCAAGGGGCAATCATCAATGGCGAACAAGGGACTTGCTCAGCCAAACCTGACAAAATTTCTAAGTATTTGTCCTCCTTGGTTTTTGTACTCCAACGGAAGGAGGTCAGCCGCAAGCAGATGCAGATGTTGGTAGGTGGTCTGGTCTATTTGTTTTCATTTCGGCGTCCCCTCATGTCAGTCCTGAACGAGGTTTGGGTTTTCATATCAAGTTTTTCAAATGACAAGCAATATTTGCCGCTTCCCCCAAAGGTTGCCCAGGAATTGTTTGCTGCCTTCTTCTTGTGCCCTCTGTCATTCATGGACTTTCGGCAACCTAGTAACCCCGTAGTTACTGCAAGCGACGCTTCGGAGTCAGGCGGCGGATTGTGTGCAAGTGTTGGTTTGACGCAGGCTGGGCTTCATGCTAGCAGGGGCCTGGTACGCGGAGAAACCCATGAATCCTTCCAAGACGGGGGCATCCTAGTAATTTCTGCTTTTGATGGCATAGCCAGCCTACGGGTGGCGTTGGACGCCTTACATGCCAACGTAAGCGGGTACGTTTCTATTGAAAAAGATCCCGCTGCACGGCGCGTGGTTGAGACACATTTCCCTTCCACCATATTTGAGGAGGATATATGTTTGATTACGCCTGATCGAGTTCGGGAATGGGCAGCGCTTTTTCCCAACTGCAAATGTGTCCTCCTAGGCGGTGGGCCTCCTACTCAAGGAAGGTCTTTCTGGAATGCAGGGTGCTCAAATATGTGTCAAAAATTTTGTGAACTTCGATGCTGGGTCACCGAAACTTTTTCTTGGTGCCCTACATTTTCTTTACTGGAAGGTGTGTCTAGCATGTCCCTAGAAGATAGGCAGGAGTATTCTAAGGTCTTTGGTATTTTGCCTTATGAAGTTGATTCCAAGCAAATTTCTCTTTGCCGTCGGCCTCGGCTCTGGTGGTTTAATTGGGAAATTACAAAAAAGGAAGGGTATCTCATTTACCCTCCTGAAGCATCTCACTCCAGTGATTATGGTGCTATAGTTTTGGAAGCCCCAATTTTGCCTTCGACTTTTATCAAACCAGGGTGGAAGCTAACAAATCCAGAAGGCGCATTTGCAACTTTTTCTACTGCCCAGCCCAGCAAAACGCCTCGGTTTAAGCCGTCAGGCCTGGCCAAATGCACCCACCGAGATTTGCAGGCATGGAAATCCGACCGCCATCGGTTTCCTCCTTTTCAATACAATTATTCCAATGGTGTGATCCACAAAAAACATGGGTGGCGCATGTTGACCATTGAAGAAAAAGAGTCAATCATGGGGTTCCCCATTGGTTTTACATCTCAAGCTTGGAATAAAACGCAGCGATCCAATCGGCCCCAAGATTTTGATGATTGCCGAATGTCACTGCTGGGGAATGCATGGCATGTTGGTGTGGTAGCTGCCTTGTGTCAACCCTTGCTTTGCGCTCAGGGCTTTGTTCCAAGCAGAACAATGCAGGAGGTAATGAACCTCCTTAGGCCGGGCAACGCGCCGGATCTGGCAGGGCGATTGTTGCGACCCACTTTGGAACACCCTCAGCCATTTGCGGCGGTAGTCAGTAACCGTGATGATGAACTGGAGTTAGTTCGAAAATTATCCCACTTAGTTTCGGCTAAGGGTACAGATGTCATGCTCACTGCTGAGACAGAAGTTCTTCCAAGGGCCCATAGGCTCCGAAATTCGCTAACACCGAAACTGTGGCGATGGAAAACCATATGTGGTTGGAGGTGGCGCCCGACAGAAAATCTCCACCCCGAACACATCAACAAGTTAGAGATGCGCGCAATATATACAAGTTTGAAGTGGCGTCTCTTCCGCCAGAGAGTACCTGGCCAAAGAGTTTTCCACCTGGTTGACAGCATGGTGTCTTTACAGCTCCTGAACAAAGGTAGAACCTCCTCCAGAAAACTTCGCCATGTTTGCAAAAAGATTTCAGCCCTATTGCTTGCCGGAAATGTCCTCCTGATCCTGGCCTACACCAACACAAAAACAAACCCTGCAGATGCCCCTTCCAGGGGGCACTTGAAGCGAAAATGGTCCGCCGTCAAATAGTTGAAGCCAGGACTAGGTCAGGTAGGAAGGAACGCAGGCGAGAGTTGGGCACTTTGAAATCTTTAGTTGTAAGACCGGCTACAATTGTACGATACGAGCGGGCTTTCAAACATTTTGTAGCATATCTGCATCAGCAAGGGTCGGAAATTTCCCGTAGCAAGATTGGTTTAGATCATCAAATTGAAGATTATTTGGAATTCCTTTGGGAAGAGGGGCTCCCCCTCTCGCTTGCAGGTGATACACTTTCGAGTATCACCTATTTTCAACCAGCCACAAAACATAATCTCGCTGGGTCGTGGAAGCTATTGCGGGCGTGGCAAGCCCATGAACTCCCATGTCGGGCCCCGCCTGTCACTTGGGAAGTCTTATGCGTGTTGCTAGGTTGGTTTCATGGTTTGAGCCCATCCGTTTCTGTGGGTCTTTATTTGGCATTCCGTGCGCTCTTGCGCACCGGAGAGCTTCTCTCCGTCCAGGCCAAACACTTGGTGATAGCCGATAATGAGGCATCTGGGCTTTTGTATCTTGGTCTCACCAAAACTGGATCTCGAAATCCAATGGCTGGTCACGTGACTATTCATGACCGAACGTTGTTGCATCTTTTGCGACTATGGAAGGCCACCGCCGAACCAGATCAGTACATAATTCCATGGTCCAGTTCTTATTTCCGTGTACAATTTTCAAAAGCCATCGATCATACCCACCTATCTGCCTTGGGCTTAAAACCCTATTCGCTTAGACGAGGTGGGGCCACGGAGTTATGGTTGAGTACACATAACTATTCCCAAGTAGCCTATGCAGGGCTGTGGACTTCAGAACGTACCTTGAAATTATACATCCATGACAGCCTAGCGCTGCTGACTGACATAACGTTTCGTCCATCCCCTTACCAAAACAACTTAATTCATCATTGGCAATCTGTCAGCCGTGTTGAGCCTTCGGTGCACCGAAAGGGTAGGGGACGTGGAAGGAAGAGGAGTTAAACAACAACACTAAACAAAACTCCCAAAACAAAACTCCTCAACAAAATCCTTCCAAAAAAAAAACGTTTTAGAATGGTTTTGCTGAACCAAACGCGTTTGCAGAAGGGTGAACTGGCGGTGAACTTTCGATTGTACAGAATGTTATTTTACTACCAACCTTGTCCTGCATGGCAATTGCAGAAAAGAGTGAGGCTGTCAATCCTTGCTTTTGGTTTACCAAATTTAGGATTTACTGCCGTTCTCCTTTTGCTCATTCAGCACGGCTTTCTGTTCTCCCACCCCCAACCGCCGCTACAGTTCACTCTCGAGAAGGAAGAGGAGTTAAACAACAACACTAAACAAAACTCCCAAAACAAAACTCCTCAACAAAATCCTTCCAAAAAAAAAACGTTTTAGAATGGTTTTGCTGAACCAAACGCGTTTGCAGAAGGGTGAACTGGCGGTGAACTTTCGATTGTACAGAATGTTATTTTACTACCAACCTTGTCCTGCATGGCAATTGCAGAAAAGAGTGAGGCTGTCAATCCTATATTTTTTTGCATGGTCAATCATTATTTTCCCTATACTGTAATGCTGTGACAATGGCATGACTATGGGGTATGCAACTTATTTTCAAGTACCACTCCCCTATCTGGGGGGTGCCTCATCATTTGTATAGATATTACAGTTGTTCGAATCATTTGTTGGTCTTATATCCCAAAGATATCTATACTATTAAACTGCTTTGTATCTGTTGTATCCCATGATTTGGGGGACAAAATTCACGATCATTTGGTTCCGCAGATCCTAGTTTTAAGCTAATATAAGTTATATAAGTTATTGGACTATAGTATGTCATGTCTATAATCATATCTACCATTAACCTCAGTTAGCCTATCTACCATAAATTCCTGGTCAAGCTTCTTATAAGCCAACTTAGCGAAGAAAAATCAAGCACCGCTCACAAGCGAGGTTCAAGTTCATCAACCCTTTGGACTTCAGCCACGGCCTGGGGCAGCCCCAGCGAGGACGTGCCAGCGAGTCTGATGCTGGCAATGGCAAGGTGGTTTCACACAGTGTTTTGGGACCAGCATAGGCTGATGATCCCAATTGACTACAGGTCAGTTCAAATGAGGAAATCTATGATCAACCAGGAGATTTCATGGGGTACCCTATTTTCAATGTATCTTCGGACAAAGCGGGTTTGTTCATCGGTGTTGAAGGGCTATTCAGGGGGGTGTTTGACCGTCAGCAATGAGCACATCAATGAGCACAGCAATCACCACAATGATGCTTGAGTGTGAGTGGGGGTTTCCACAAGTTTTATGACCTCAAAACAATCCATTTACCATGCGTCCATCCATTTGATGTCAAGGTGTGGGGGTCTAGTCTATAGATTTTCAATTTTTGAGTCAGATAGATTACTTTTTTGCGAACTTCTGGGAGTCACTAGACAATCGAACTCCTGGGAGAAGCGACAAAGCCGCAAGATTTGACGTGTTCTCTTCTGAGGCATCCTGGCATCCTGGTTAAGGGTCTGGGGTGCAAGGACTTTGTAGATCTTGGTGAAGGTTTATGCATGGGAGTTCAGCGAGAGTTGCGTGGCGGCAAGGATGGCTGTGCTAATGCTAGTGGTCCAGGACCGACCCTGTGGGTTTGTTGGACCACAATGTTTTTCACCATAGACCGCAGAATCATGTTTTATTTTGATGAGGAATGCCCAGTTTTGTCTCCATGTGGGCAGGTTTAACTTGTCGGGTGATACAGTAGACCCCAGGTGGATGATCTGCAAGTTTCCCCAGGCCCCCTGAATTTCAATGTTAGTGTTTTATGTCTCCATGTCACTCCTCGATTTGATTTATTTCGTCCATTTGTGCCACATACAAGTACTTGGTGCCCCCCTCGGTTTGACTGCAATGCTCGAAACATACAGAAGTTCATTTGCTGCATGTTAACTAGGTGCTTGGGAACAGATTGCATTGCCATGCGTTGCCTACGAGTTTGAGCCAGATTTCAATACCGTGCCACCCTTGCAAGGATGTGCCACCAGCGTCTCTGGCGAAACTGACCAACCATGAATATCACCACTATTTTTACGTGAGATTGCCGGTGGTACTTGAAATTTTGCAGTCTATTCAGCAAGTGATGGACCAGCAATGTGTCCGCCTGCATCGTAACCAGCAGCAGCTGGTGGCAAACTCGTTACATGATACAACTATTGGGCTCACTGACATCTTGGAGTTTCTCCACGTCGCGCCTCCTGCGACTGTTTTGCAATCTGAACCACCTACAGCAGTGCCCCCGGAAACACAGGTGTATGTCTCCATGTCACTCCCAGTCACTCCTCGGTTTGATTTATTTCGTCCATTCGGGATGGGTATTCGGGATGTATAGGTTTGAATTATTTGGTCCACCTACGGTATCACCTCCCAGGTGCAAACCGATGAACATAGAGATACAACGTGGCACCAAATAGTTGGCTAAGTTGGTTTATAACCAGATTGCCTCAGCTTTAATTGTCGGAGATATATCGAAGTAGTTCAAGAGTCACATTTGGGCAGTGGAGCCTGGGAAACCCTGCCATGAACACAACCATGACTGGGAGAATGGTGAATGATGTCAATGTTTTAGGCATGTTGCTGTTGAAGTCCAAACTTTGTTCAAAAAATAGGCTCATACCTGTGTTTAAATGGACTGAATGATGCATGTTTTGAATGAATGATTTCAATTCACCTCTGAATCGGCTTCGAAAATTGCAGACACAGCTGTAAACCGCTTAGAGTTAGATATCAGATGAAATTAGTATTATACTGTATATGCATGGTTTCCTTCAAATTTCCCTTGAAATGGCTGACTCTGAAGAAGTTTCACCCAATGAGCGCCGACCCTGCTGAGGCTCATTCCGAAGTACAACAGCTCCGACCCGCTGGAGCTTTTCTCGGAGATGTCGGCCAGTCAGTGCCCTTTGGCAAAATTTTGGGTTGGTTCTTGATAGAGAATCTATAGGGAACCTAATACTTTTGTAGAGAATCCATGGGACACTTATGGTTTTTGAATCATTTTTTCATGAAATGAAGGGCTTCGCTGTAATTTTGCCCTGAATGCATCCAATGTCCTCCAATTCTGGACGTCGCTGGCACTTTGGCATGTAGTTGGACCACGGCTCATAATTCGCTGTGGTAAAATATGCATCTTTTTTTCGAAATCATTTTAGAGGTTATGATGGGGTGGGGTTGGGTGGGGGCTAATAACGTCCTGTTGTTGCATCCGCATAGACGTGTATTCTCTCGGATCCGTGGCTACATCATGGGGTGGGGTGGGGTGGGGGGGCGCTAATAGCGTCCTGTGTTTGCATTCGCACAGACGCGTCTTCTTACGGAATCCAAGATACGTCGCGCTCGGATGCTACGTTGGTTGCACATCTGCACGCTACGGATGCTACGTTGGCAACATGTCGGCACGCTTCTGATGCTACGTTGGTAACATATCTGCACCTACGGATGCTACGTTGATAACAGTCTGCATGCCACGGTTGCTACGTTGGTAATATGTCTGCACGCTGCAGATGCTACGTTTTGGTAACGGATGCCACGTTGGTTGCACGTCTGCACGCCACGGTTGCTACGTTGGTGACACGACTACACGCAACGCAACGGTTGCTAAGTAAGTGACACATCTGCACGCTACGGATGCTACGTTGGTTGCGCATCTGCACGCCACGGCTTGACGCAAAAACTTGGGAAACTTGAATGCAAGGACTTTCTTGCGGCATCTAGCCAAAATTTGATGAAGATGCGACTAGTTACCCGCATTTTGCAGAAGAGAAACAAAAACACTATTGCAAACATTGAACACACACGACAAGTAGAAATCCATGTAATTGCGATGATTTGAGTGCGACATACACATCACCGAAATGTCATTTTGACTCACGGCGAAATATGAGCCGTGAACCTAGTTTTCTGTTCTTCTGGATTTGGGGCGTTTCCCAATTGACTGATGGTTTGGGAAGCCACCAACAACTTTTGTCAGCTATGAAACTATGAAACTGCTTTTATTGATATTGTTTTATATTTATCATTGTTATTGATGTTTATTTATTGTTTATTTGTTTGGCATGACAGCAATGACTGACCCAAGGTGATTGTGTTTCTTTTCTATTGGAAAGCACTCGTCAGCTATACGTAGGTACCCAAGGAACTAATCCGCAGGAGTCAACCTACCAGGACCTACCAACAGTCATTCGTTGCTAACCCAACTTACGAATTTGATGAACATGTGCAAGAAACACCTGAATCAATCTTAATCAGGCAAACGGATTGCACAACAAATATGGCTTCCGTACTGTACCATGTTTTGCTTGTGTTCCCATTTTTTTGAAAAAACATGCTGGAAACATGCGCTCAGCGTTAATTAATATGCATGTCATTTTCTATCATAGTTTGCTGCACCGTTATAATTTCCTTGAGACATCTTGACACCATTTTTTTTGGGCCAGAACAAAGTACGGGATTCAAATAAATTTCTTGCAAACACCATCGCGGGACTTGCTGTTTTGCTTTCAGGTTTCAGAAGTGGTTCCATAGATATTGGTGCCAGCTATACAATCCATATTGCATTTTGTTTCATATCATGCCATCCCATTTCTGGCATCATCGGCATCATCATCATCATCATCATCATCATCTTCATCTTCATCTTCATCTTCATCTTCATCTTCATCTTCACCTCATCAAATCATCCAAACTGACTCACATTCGCATGCTTGGGGCCCCGATGGGGCACAAAACCGCCAATCAGCTGGTCCTGTGGAAGTCGCATGGACAAAACCTGTGCGAGGTGAAAGTCGATGTCGTTCAGTGACCAAATGCAGTGGCTCCTTGGCTCCGCCGTGGGAATGTAAAGATGTGGTATAGGCATAGGAAATTGACCATGCAACAAATATGTGGGATATGACTCCGCCATAAAAACTGGCCACAAAAACAAAAAATATGGTGATGAGTCCGGGATGGTTTAGGGTTTAGGGCTTCGGGTGTACCAAATTAACCCAATTGATGGATATTTGGGTGGTTCGTAAAATGGGGGATCCCAAAGTTACCATAGGTTTCAATACTAAGTCATGGTCATCCATGACCTGGATGATATGGGGACTTGTTGGAATGCCCCTTAATCGCTCCATGGATTCACACTCTTTGTTGAAAAAAAATTACCTGAAAACCAAAGTTAGGTGCAACTGGAGTCTCCTCGGAAAGGTTGTTGAATGAAGAAAACTGTTTTATTTTTTCCCCACCTGCCAGGTGAGGGTTGTTAGATTTTATCAGAGCTGTTCTCCTCCTCCGCCTCCGCATCCTCCTCCTCCATCTCCTCCGCTTCCTCCTCCTCGCAGTCCAGATCCCAACCGCGACTTCCAGATCGCAGTCCGCCTCCTCCTCCTCGCAGTCCAGATCCCAACCGCGACTTCCAGATCGCAGTGGGCACTGCCGGACCTCAACGGCGAATTCCAGATCGCAGTGGGCACTGCCGGACCTCAACGGCGAATTCCAGATCGCAGTGGGCACCCGACCTCAACCGCGACTTCCAGATCGCAGTGGGCACTGCCGGACCTCAACCGCGACTTCCAGATCGCAGTGGGCACTGCCGGACCTCAACCGCGACTTCCAGATCGCAGTGGGCACTGCCGGACCTCAACCGCGACTTCCAGATCGCAGTGGGCACTGCCGGACCTCAACGGGAAGAATGTGAGAAGATGTGTCAGATAGAATGTCAGAATATATGCCAGATAGAATGCCAGAAAGAATGTCAGAAGATATGCCAGATAGAATGTCAGAAGATATGCCAAATAGAATGCCAGAAAAAAAAATCATAAGATATCATAAGATATGCCAGAAAGAATGTTCTGAATGCCACAAGATATGCCAGAAAGAATATCAGAATATATGCCAGATAGAGTGCCAGAAAGAATGTCAGAAGATATGCCAGATATAATGTCAGAAGATATGCCAAATAGAATGCCAGAAAAAATGTCATAAGATATGCCAGAAAGAATGTTCTGAATGTCACAAGATATGCCAGAAAGAATATCAGAATATATGCCAGATAGACTGCCAGAAAGAATGTCAGAAGATATGCCAGAAAGAATGTCAGAAGATAAGTCAGATAGAATGTCAGAAGATATGCCAGATAGAATGTCAGAAGATATGCCAGATAGAATGCCAGAAGATATGCCAGATAGAATGCCAGAAGATTTGCCAGATAGAATGCCAGAAGATATGCCAGAAGATATGCCAGAAGATATGCCAGATAGAATGCCAGATAGAATGCCAAAAGATATGTCAGATAGAATGCCAGAAGATATGCCAGAACATATGCCAGAAGATTTGCCAGATAGAATGCCAGAAGATATGCCAGAAGATATGCCAGATAGAATGCCAGATAGAATGCCAGAAGTTATGTCAGATAGAATGCCAGAAGATTTGCCAGATAGAATGCCAGAAGATATGCCAGAAGATATGCCAGAAGATATGCCAGATAGAATGCCAGAAAAAATGCCAGAAGATAAGATATGTCAGATAGAATGCCAGAAGATTTGCCAGTAAGAAAATGTAAAGATGCCACCGTGTGGATCATTCGAAGTGAAGTAGTTTGATTTTTTAAGGGTCATGCTTAGGTCAAATTGTTTTGTAGATGGCAATACTTTTACCCCGTACCGGGTTGGGATGCTTGAGATCCCCAGCCACAGCAATCGCGGCGATCTTCCAGGTGGTGGCCAAAAGATTCCCAGTTCATAGTGGTCCAGGATTGATAAAGACTGGTTGGTGGTTTCAAGCATTTTTTATTCCATAATATACAAGTGCGCTCGCATGGGATAATCTTTCCCATTCACTAATATTTTCCAAGATGGTTAAAACCACAAACCAGAAGAATATGCAGACTATTCATGACCCCTCTCAACCATTCCAACAAATAGAATTTAATTAATTGTAGATCAATATAATAGAACGGTTGAAGTGTTGATACACTAGTACCATCAAGATACCATCAAGTACTCCCCGATATGGGTTTGTCTCAGACTGGGGGATTTCCCAACACCTTTCAAGAGGAGAAACAAAATTTAAAGGAATGACAGCAACAAACTATCCCATGTACTCCTTGTACTCCATGTATGATATATTTACAATTATTGCAGTACTTACATGCAGGGTCATTTTCGGAGGGAAAGGTGTGTGATACCATGAATGAGGCTTCGTCACCACAAGTTGAGACGAGCAACAGATGTTGAGCTTGTTTCGAGGACGGGGAACAGAAGGCCGGATTGCGACATTGAGGCGATATGAATGGATGACATTGTGATGTGTAGTGTTTGTAGTTGTAAAGAAATCATCCATGGTTTTGGAGATCAGGTTGACTATTCAAGTTTACACTTTACATTCAATTGGGAAGATCAACAAGGGTATTAGGGAATATTAAATTCGCACCCCCGTTAAACTTTACATTCAATTGGGAAGATCAACCAGGGTATTAGGGAATATTAAACTCCCACCCCCGTTAAACTTTACATTCAATTGGGAAGATCAACAAGGGTATTAGGGAATATTAAATTCGCACCCCCGTTAAACTTTACATTCAATTGGGAAGATCAACCAGGGTTTGAGGGAATATTACACTCCCACCCCCGTTAAACTTTACATTCAATTGGGAAGATCAACCAGGGTTTTAGGGAATATTAAACTCCCACCCCCGTTAAACTTTACATTCAATTGGGAAGATCAACAAGGGTATTAGGGAATATTAAATTCGCACCCCCGTTAAACTTTACATTCAATTGGGAAGATCAACAAGGGTATTAGGGAATATTACACTCCCACCCCCTTTAAACTTTACATTCAATTGGGAAGATCAACAAGGGTATTAGGGAATATTAAACTCCACCCCCGTTAAACCTTACATTCAATTGGGAAGATCAACCAGGGTATTAGGGAATATTAAACTCCC